TCTGGCTCCCCATAAGACCCTAGGGAAGCCATCGAACTTCTCTGAGCCTCAGTTTCCTCATCTGGAAATTAAGGATGATCATAGCTTCTTTGCAGGTTTGTGTGAGGATTATGACCGTTCACATAGATACTCTAGAATGGGGTCTAGCACTTCGTCAGTGTTTAACAAATAACAGCTATTATTTCTGTCAGGTATGTCATCCTGACCACTTTTTCATAATCAGCTTTAGAAATATTCCTAGATAGAAGCATGAATAGTATGCATTTGAGAATGATATTCGCAACTAGAAATAAAACACCCTTACCCGTGAAGAGAGTGGAGCCTCCTTGGGACTGTTCAAATTGGCGCAGCCATGGTCAACTTCGTCTAGTTGAGATAAACGCCTGCAGGCAGGCTGGGGGCTGGTTGGTAACTGCTCCCCTCAGGCCTCATTCTCTGGGCTTCGCTAGGCTTCATGAGCTCCAACGTCACCTTCAGGCGGTTGCTCGTTGCTGGCTGAGTCTGATGCTCCCCGGCTGACCTCACTGCTTCCCCTGAAGCCTGGTCCACTCCTGCATGCCCCCATCTCTTCAGCAGGATCCTCGGAAGGGTCTGGTTGGGCACAGGTGTCCTCCCACTGCTCCCTTAGCAGAGCCCGGTCTCGCTGGTGGCCACGAGCCCTCAGGAAGTCTCATGAGCTGCTTTAGCTTAATGAAGCTCATGATAGTCGCTAAGCCTCCTTGGCACGAGCCGGAAACACATGGCTCCTTCATCAGGAGTCGGGCTGGCGTGGGGCTCTGAGGCTTTCTCACAGATCCCAGGATTTTGGCAGTGGAAGGACTACTTTCCACCCCTCTCTGTTGACTGCTCTGAAATTCCCAGTTCCTGGAGGACAGAGTCCATTTCCAGATTCCCTCAGGCACACAGCAGACACTGAACGTTTTCTTGACCACGTTTCATTGTTTGGTTTGGTTTTTCACGATAGCAGGTTTGGTGACTCTGAAGTCCAAGCTCCTCCCTCTGGCATCTGAGGCTTTCTGCTCCAGCCTGGACTTCTCCCCAGCCTTGTCTCCTGTCAACCTTCCATTTCCTTCAAGGGTCTGCTTAGGAGCCTCTGCTTCTAAGAAGCTCCCTTGATTTTCAGAAAGCCTTTTGCTTCCTATTTTCCCCTTGCTCCGAATCATATAGATACAGATATAGTATGGCTATACTTGGACTGGTAAATAGGTGCTTTGAAATGCCTACACATATGGCCATAGTCACAGATACAGGTGTGTGTGGGTATACATATGTGTGTATCTACATATATACAGATATATTATGTATATGATATATACATATTCACATATGTATATGCTCATATTCATATAATATGTATACATATATATAGTATACACATCTAGTATTTCTAAACTGGTATGAATGTCCTTCTATGTCATTAAATATTATTTTACAATTTTGACACGTGTATAATACTTTTGAAATCAGTCTCCTAGTGTTTGACATATAGGTTGTTTCTAGTTCTTCACTGTTCTGAACACGGCTCTTCTGACATATTAGCTTATCCACTTAGTAGGCAGTGGGGCACAGTGGACTCTGGGCTCAGAGAGCCCCATGTCTGACTCTGATCCCCACCATTTTCTGGTGACCTTGGACAGGCCATTTCACCTTTCCACACTTCTGTTTCCTCGTCTATATAAAAGAGAGCATAATGGTACTCATTTCATAGGGTCGTAAGGCACGGACAGCCTTATCCTTGGCCCTGTCACATCGTAAGTGCTCAGGGAGAGAACCACACAGGCAGGGAGGCTGCAGGGGGCATTCGCTCCGGCTTCCCCGCTGAGCAGTGTGACCTTGTATATCACTATTTCATAGTGTGTGACAAAGACCCACAGAGATAGCGGTGACAGCTCTTTACAACAGCTAAGTGTTGCCCAAATTGAAGGCTGTATTATTGTTGTTGTTTTTACTTCTCTTACTCCTTTCTATAGGTTTTAGGACTGTGTAAGTTAAACTATGCAAGCAGAGAATAAGTGCTTTGAGGGCACTTAAAAAAATTGCTTTGCTGTTTTATAGACTTGGTGAAAATGATTCATGCCGATCATAAACAGTTTAGACAATACCAAGAAAGCATGAAGGAGAAAGTAAAACTCTGAATCCCACCAACCAGGACTAACCGGGGTTGGCACGTTGATTGCGGCCTTCTTTTCCTTGCTCCCCCTCTGGTGCCCAGGGCAGGGCAGGGCAGCCTGCAGCTGTTTAAAAAATGTCTGTTGACCTCAACCAGATTGACTCGTTAACAGCGGCATGCTCCAGCTCCGTCCCTCTCAGCCAACCTCTGACAGTTTCATTAACCCCATTAAATCACGCAGGTGCCTTTACACCTCCTGGGCTTGTTAATCTGTGTTCCGCTCTTGCAAGTTAAAACCTGGCTGGAAAGTTGGATGTACCTTGTTAACCTCCATTAAACCCTATTAAATTTCCTAACTAGAGTCTTAGTGACTTCTAGGACTCCCTCATTAAAGTTTAGTAAATCCGGTCGATCGGGACAAGGGTACCTGTTGTGGCCGCACTGCTTCAGAGTGGCCTTCCTGAGTTCCTGGACGGTGGTGTTGACAAGTGTCCCTAGGACCAGATGACCCTTGGACCCAATCCCAGGAGTGCCTCTAGCTCTCATTGTTACGTGGGCAAGTTCCTCAGCTCTCTGAGCCTGCATTTACCCCTCTATAAATCGGAGTTAATAACACTTCCTACTTTATATGATGGTAGCGAGAGTGAATGAATCAGCGCACCCGTCAGACTGGTAGCAGGTTGCCTGGTGTGCACTCTGCGCTTGAAAGCTGTTATTTTCTTGATGTGAAAGTTCCTTATAAACTAAAAACTGTTACGTAAATGGAAGATTCAATTCCAGGCATTTACAGGGTCATCCTGTATGCCAGGCACAGTGCTAGGAACTGTGGATTAATCCATTCTGGTTTTATCCAGACCGAAGAGCATCCGTTCCAATGATTCATCTCAACAGTGTCTGTGGCTGTGCATGTCACTATTTGCTCAGACCCTGACACTTCTGAGCCATTTGGAGTTGAGCATAGCTACTTTCCCTCCCTGGGCCCTAGGAGGTTGGACACACTGGTTCCGAAACCTGGGTATGCATACAAATTCCCCAGGAGATTTTGTAAAAATAGTTTTCCAGGCCCCACTTGAGGAGATTCTCATTTAGTAGGTCCCACTGGGAATTTTAACCAGTATTTCCGATGAGGCTGAAGCTGCTGGATCGGGAAACCTCTGGGCCAGACTAGTGTTTCTCCACTTTCTTGAGCTTAAGTCTTACCTGGGGAAGTTAAAAAATTCATATTCCTAGAATTCAGCTCCTGAGCTTTGCATTCTGAGAATCCAGGATGGAGGTCCAGGAATTGTAACAGAGTTCTTAGCGGATTCTGAAGGGGGTGGGAGGTGGCAAGCGCCATACTTTCAAAACTGCTGGACCTCAGATGAGCTGATACTCAATATTCTGAAGGTCTATTTTGAAAAAAGGGTGTCTGGTTCCTAGTGAAACTTCTGTTCTAATAGTACGTTGAGATGTGAGGTCAGCCCCCCATCACAACCGATGTCTGTGGATCTTCAAAGGACGTCGACTCCAGCAGGTGTCAGGCAGTTTGGGGCAAGCTTGGGGATAAAGTACCTCTTTGAGGTTCAGTGTGTGAGGGATCAGAGGACAGTGGGCAGCTCTCTGTGGTTAGATCCGGAAGAATGGGAGGGCAACCCACAGAGGAGTGGCAGGAACTACTCAGGTTATACCTCAAATGAACAGACAACATGGTATGAAAATGGGCAGTTCCTTTGCTTTCTGAAGGAAATCAACTCAGCGACCCGCTAAATGATGGCACCTTCAGCAATAATCCATCACTGATCCTGTGGGGCCCCAGTGACAGCCAAGACTCCCTGCCCTCCTTCCCCCCAAAACTACGTCCTGAAAAGCCACCCTCCACACCATCCACAGAGGGGAGGGACAGGAGAGGGGGAGGGTGGTGAGGGGAGGAACGGCACTCTGTAAGTTTCAGTGCTGTTTAAAACTTTAGAACTAGCATGTATTAGTACTAGCTAACTAAGATGACGAAAAAAAATTATTGATTGCATTTCTTTCCTTTCACTCTGCTAAGGTCAGAGGTGTGCTAAAGTGGCACTAGCGACAGCTTTGAAATGAAAGACCTGAGTCTGAGGCTTGGCTGGGCAAGAGGCTTGATCCCACGAGGCCTCAGGGACCTCCACCAGTAACGCTGACAGCCCCGTCATGAGCACGGGACTTGCCTGAGGACTTTGTTAAGGCGCAGATTCTGATTCAGTAGACGACTGGCAGGTGAAGGGGGCAGAGATTCTGCATTTCTAACAAGTGTTCAGACGATGGACCAACTTCAAATACTTGAGGCTATACTGTATGAGAAGAAACGTCAGTCCACACACTGTTAAACATAAGTTTTTGAGACATTTACACACTGGGACATTTATATAAAAGTCTACACTTCCAGATCCTCTTCTGAAATTTCGAGAACTGGCCACACAGGACCGGCGTTCCCACCTGGCAACAATAGGCTGGAGCTGAGTAGCGGCTACCCTTAGAGGGACCTGAGTTTTCTAGTTTGCAGCATGCCCCTTCAGGCATTTCAGTTTGCAACCCTCTACCCAGTTCACTCAGGACTCTCATTTTATAGATGGATAACTGGAGGCCCAGAGTGTAGCTACTTGCCCAGGGTACCTGGTGTGCTACGCGGCATTCAGGCCCAGACTCAGGCGGTCAGACCCCAGTCTCTTTCCACATGAGTGAGTGGGAGAGCAGGACCACACTTCTGTGATCTGAACTCTCTTGGTGTGCACTGGGATTGGGAAGGGGGGTGCAGGAACAAGTTCTTGGAGCCAGGAGGAAAGACAGCCGTCACCAGTCACTGTACTACACAGCCAGGGGCCAAACGCGGAAGTGAAGGCATCTGAATGCCACATGGACTCAAAGAGAACAACAGAGTGTGTCTCTCATTACTCATTCAGATCGTTTATTAAGAGCGAAAGTCGGGCCGTCCCATCTGTGTGATATTGCAACATGAAAAGTCACATACATACCAAGGAGACCCCACAGAATCGAGAGCCTTTCAACAGTACAGAGCCATAGATTACAAAATTAAAATACAAATGATCCCCCCAAATTTGGCAGGAAACAAGTACAATATGAGGAGGCCTGGAATGGAAGGGCACTTGCTTTTCAATAAGGCAGTTACAAAATGGAAAAAAAACCAAACCCACACCCCAAAACACTTTGATGGGCTTAGTGGATGACAGACGTGTGAAACAGGGATCCTGTACAGCCCTCGGTCACTGGCAAAGATGTGTTCATGAAGTGAAAGCAACCGAAGGGTTTGTGTTTTCAGATGCAAGCTAGATGAAATAACTGATTGTAGACATTTCTACCTTAAGAAAAGGTCCCACCTTGTCCTGGGCTGGATTCCACCTGAAAGCATCAGATCAACTTTACCCTTCCGATCCATGCACTTGCAAACAGTCTGTAATAAAATGAAAGGAATGAAAAGGCACCCCTAAAGCACCATGCTGCCCAGGGCATGATCTTGAGCTCACCCGTCCTTCAGTCCAGCTGCCTAGCTCAGTAGCAGGGACCGGGAGGCTGCAAACTGCAAGGCCACAGAGCTGCGTCTGTCCAAGTTAGGGCCAAGTGAACTACCCAGCCTCAAAGGACCACCTGAAAGGCAGACGTCTGACCAACAGATGACAGAGCAAGCCCATTTCGTGAGAATTTAGATTCTAGGACAAGACTACATCTCCTGCCAGGACTTTTGAATCTTGGTCTTAATTTACAGGCTAGTTCTGTTCTCGCCTCCCATTTGTTTTGCAAAACTCGACTGACTGCTTTTGGAATCGTTTCACACAACCTCGAGTTCTGCAGGTTGGTCTGCAGTCCCTGAGAGCCGGGCTGGCCTTGGAAACCTCCGCTCAGTTGCAGGGTCTCAAGAATCTGAGGGCAGCTTACTTTAGACTGGACTAGTCACGCTGCAAGTCAGAGAGTAGGAGAGCACTGGACAGGCCAGGAGGATGAGAGGTTAGTCTCCAGATAATGCCGTGTGACTCAGGCAAGTCTTCAAACTTTAGTTTCCCCATCTCTAAAAATGAATGATCGGGCAATAGCAACCTTAAAGGACTTTCCAGGTTGAAAATATGGCACTCGTCTGACACTGAGACATGTGGTCCCCCCACCCCCAAATTCCTAAGCTTTGTTTTCTCAATAAAAACAATGTGTGCAGGAATCTTAAGGTGCAAACCCTTGGCAGCCATGGAACCTTTAAACTCCACACAGAGAAATTATAACATTTTAAATCTTCTGGCTAAAACTTTTCCTAAGTGATGTGAGCATCAGTTTTTGTGAGGCAAGCACAGAACTAAGGCCTCATCTGTCTTAGGGTATTTTTCAGCAGGCCAACAGCATGCCCTCCTCCCCAATGCCATCAGCTTCAGCGAGAACAAGTGAGTATGACCCGGCTGATGGGGTTCCCTCAACATTATCCAGCAAGGACCTAAATGGACCAATACTCAAGGGGAGGACAGTCATGACACCAAACTATCTATTTGCTATCTGCTCCTTTCCAAAAGACAAATGCTTACGCCCTGGGATAGCGCCAGGTCCTTGGCCAAGATGAACAACTTGTTCCACATGAGCCCCACTGGGCAGAGACTAAGATGGAAATTATAGAGAACATAGAAAAGCCAGAGGTTTACAAAGCTAGAACAGGCTTCTCCAGGAGGTAGTGAGTTCTCTGTCCTCAGAGGTGTTTAAGCCCAGCCTGCTCAATGCCTTGGTGGGACGGTTGTAGGCAGAATGTCAGCACCTATGGGGAGACTGGACTGCAGGACTTAAAGGCCCTTTCCTAACTTTTGGATCTTGTCACTGCAATGACTGAGAGCCTTCAGACGATTTCCAGGAAGCAAACAACTCTGGCCCCCAGAGTAAGTTCCCTCTCCTACTTTCTCCCTTCTCCAACCAGGCAGTTGTCCTTCAGGATATTAACATAAAAGTTCCCACAAAATAAATAGCTGAAGTGCCAAGGTTAGACGCAACATTGCAGCTGCAAACAATTATTACTATCTGTTCTCTGGAAGGCTAGCAGTGAACATTGAGCTATGACAGGAACATCTAACAACTTGGCGGCTGTAATACATAAGTGAAATTCCTCTTCATTTTACAACACCGATCTTGAATCCTTTGGTTTCAATCTTTCACGGGATTTAGCTATGATCTCTTTCAGATGCTATTGCCAACCTAAGAGTTTGTTTGTTGAAATAAAGTTTGTCTGCTTGTTTTTGAAAAACCTTAAAATGAACATGAATAGCAGGATATTAACGTTTCCATGTGACAACCTTCAGGGCATATGAAAGAACGATACCAGGCCGGGACGGAGGCAGGAACCATACTCTAAGAAGACAATGCCAGTTCTGGATTTCAAATTCCAGTTTTGCCCAGGAGCACCAAGAGGAGAGAAGGCAATGTTGCAACGTTACAGGTGGAGAGAAGCGCAAGAGTCTTTGACAGGTGGTATAAAATGCAGGCAGCCACGATGAACACTGCTTTCCCCAGACCCCACTGCTCCCTGATGCCAGAGCCAGTTGCTTTGGAGGGCCCGGCCATTTCTAACGGGCAGAAGTCCCCTGCCCACAGGTCAAGCCATGGGAAACTGCAGAAGAGGCTAAGGCAAGTGGTTTAGCGGTTTGATGAAAGAGCAGATTTCTGCACATGAGAAAGATTAAGTTCAGAGAGCTTTGTCTTTTCTCTCACCTGACATGTTTTCAAAGGTTGAAAAGACACCCACAACCTCCACTTTCCCAAAGTACCTCTCTTTAGAGGAAAGACGGCCTGGGAATCAAGTGCGCACAGCATCTGGCTGAAGGTGGAAAGTCTGCCCAGGCTTCGCTTTGGAATAAAAGCACTTATGCACACACTTGAACAGATGGATCCTAACACCACATCTTCTTGTACAGAAATATACTCTCTCTCTCTCAACTGGGAAAACACATTAGCTGTTAAAGACACAGTGACATGACCTAAACATCCACAATTTTGGTTTAAACACAGAAAGATACACTTTTTCTCAATAAGATACGGACATTTCCAGAGAGCAGGTTATCAATGCCTTAACCTACAGGCCCCATTTGCCCCTAAACTCCAGCCCAATGAGACAACTCTTCTCCTGACAAAGGAGGCTTGGTGTTTGATGCCTTCAAAGCCTTTCTAACTCAGTCTCTCAGGAAAAAAACCTAGATAAGCCACATACTTTTGAGCCTTCTTGATGTCTACACATCAACATTCTTCAGCTAGTAGTGAGACAATCTCTAAATACATACTGAGTCTGAATGACTAAGGACCATGCCATTCACAGCCAGGTGTATAAAAATAAGATCCCCGCATAGTCTAGAGTATGTTCTATGTACGTCCATTTATATATATTTAAAAAGGCTGCAATCTGCTAGACATGCATTTTGAACACTGGGGAAAGCTCTGCAGCGATGGAACACACTGTGCTTTAGTGAGAGTGGCGGCCCCGTCCCCAGAGACCATGGGACTCTGCTCCACAGAGCTGAGACCGTCGGACACTCCACCGCCCTGCTCAGCGGGGACTTTTGTTCTGACTTCTCTGTGCTGATGCTCAGATTACGCCATCTATGAGACATTAAAACTCCCTGCCAGGCCAGGCTGTCTACTGCTCCTTTTATTATTTAAGGCTTAAGAAAGAACTCAGAATTTAAACTGAGTAAGAAAATGATACTTTTGACCACAGGATATGTCAAGATGGTCAGAAATTAGAATCCAAGTCCTTTACTTCCCTTTTTCTCCCACCCCCTATTCACACCCTCTGTCCCCCAAGACACTGATTAGAAAATTTTGCAAAAGCATACTTTTGGATATAAAGCTTTGTTTTCCAACGATACTTTGGCTCTGATATAGAAAGAGGAATCTGAGTTTTTGAACATAAAAAAATCAGGTAAGTATTAATACTTAAAAAAAATCATTTTAGTAATCTTTCCCCCTAAAAGGGAGGCAAATTGCTCACAAAAATGAACATCAGATGGCACTGACCTTTGTGGCTCAAACCCATGATTTGCTGCTGACCCCTGAGGGCCCAGGGAGTCAAGGCCAGACAGAGTTTCTACCCCAGAGCTGGACTTCTGAGCTGGAATCGCATGGTCCTTGGCAGCCTTCTTGGTGGTTGTGAACTAAGGATTAGTGCTTCTGAGAACATGAGCCCCAAACCACTAAGTATCTCTGTTTGTCAAAGCATTTATGGCCCAGGAGAATGGCTGAAGTCATAATACATAACTTCACCCCAAAGAGTGGAGCGCAGAGGGGTGTGCAAAGCGCTGCATCTCTCCTGGGGGCCTCTGCATCGGCGTTTCTGGAACCTGCACAAATACAGCTTGGCACATGCGACTGCCTGAAGTCCTCCTTTGATTTGAAACCTCCTGTTGGTGCATCAGGACTTCCTCCACACTCTAGAAGTTAAGTGGTGAGCAATGGAAATGGCAGAGGTCTCATTAACTAGAGGTGTGAAGCAGATGTTACAAGGCTGGCATTGTTAGTGACAGCTCAATTAGCCAACAAACACGGATTGGGTGCCTCCTGTGTGCAAGGCACATAGCCAGAGAGGGAGAGCAGCGTCAAACTGATTTGCTGATAGACGACAAAGCTTGCAGCAAAGCGGGTGTCTACGCCCCCAGCAGACTAGGGTCTGCTCATGCATCTCCACTGTCAACTGGACTTTGCTGCTAGGCCAGGCCTACATCCCCTGTGTGGCAGCATGGTATGCCAAGGTGACTACCAAAATATTTTTTATGCCACATTTCCAGTAGAATTGACTTACTGCTTTGTCGAATGCTGCAACACATAATTTTTCTTTCATTTTCTTTATGATCTCGTTTTTTAAGTTCAGTAGTGGCCTTAAAGGAAAGTCTTTGTATACACATGCTGAATCATGAGAATATAATCCTCCTGACCAAAAAGATTTACAGTATTCATCATTCAAACTTTTTTATTTACAATAAAATTTAACAGTCTTTATGGGCTTAAACGTAGCAGATATCACCTGTGCACTAAGCATCACACTTCATTCCTGGAAGACGTGCTTCCTCCTCACTCCAGCTGCTTGCCGCCCTCCGCTTTCTGGTCCAGTCTACTCTTGTTACTCTTCACCATGTAGATGAAGTAGGCCAGGGTCTCTTTTTCATTCACAGGTATGTTCCTGAAGTGTCGGCTGACAGTCTACATGGGGGAAAATAAACCAGAGACCGTTAAAGCATGCATAAATCAGGGCCACAGATTCTGAATTGTGCAGGAGGGACTAGGAAGTCGCTTCCAGAGCTATGCAGGGGATTCTGATCAGTACGACAGAGCTTCCTGCAGTGCTGCAGATTCAGAATGCCTTCCTTCCCTGGGATTTAGGTGATCTGGTTTCCAGGCTTCCAAAAGTGGCACGTTAGCCCACAACACTGTCAAGGTGCAGTTCTATGTCAGTGGCAGCCGACCGCCCATCACGGCATAATCTCAAGGTCAGCCCCACGGAGGAAGAGACTGGGAATGCTCTGGTTGGCCGGCTGCTGCCAGAACCTCTCAGGCCCTGGAACTGGGCAGAAAAGTGTCTTTTTAAAATTGCATCAAATAAACAGCCGATTGAACAGATGTAAGTGTCTGACCCAATAATTCATCTAAATAGCACATAACCGACACATCAAATTGAAGAAAAATTTATCCTTTACTATATATTCCTGACGCTCTGCATTATTTTACAGGTCCTGAGGACACAGGTCTCCTCTTGCCCCACCTCTTGCTACCCCTTCCCCCAGGGGTGAATGCTGGCAATGGGTGACGTTAGCTTAAGTAGGAAAGGCTTGTATGCTCCTGTGTTTCATCCAGATGCTGGTAAAGGAGAAGTTTCAGAAAATATGATGCATCAGCAACCTTTAAAGGATAGACCACAAACTGATGGGGCTGTGAGCCTTTACGGAAACCTCTGAATGAACTGAGGTGGCCGGGACAGACACAGAGAGTCAGAGAACTAGGATTACAGAGGGGTTGGCTCTGGATGGTAGGATTGTATTTTCCTTTTTTCCATTTTCCAAATTTTCTACAATAGGCAGAAAAACACAATAAGAAAAGAAGGATGAGAGGTACCCACACAAATGCCAACAGGACAGAAGAATCAAGCCAGGCTGTCAGTACATTAAAATAATGGCCAATGGAGCATTTTCTGCCTCCTCCAAACTGTGTTAAGAACTCAGAGCAGGAGAAAACTTTCTTGGGCTCCATTCATTTAAATACTTCCACTACCAACATCAGAGTAGAAGAAATCAAGGAAAAAACAAAGAAAGAAAAATAGCTCCTACAGAACATGAGTGAAGGTTCTGGAATGATTAACCTGACACACCTGATGTGCAGAAAGGAACATGTCTATAAAGAATCTTGCAAAACAAGATTCAAACAAAAGAACACTCAGGACTCAGAATCAGGAGTCCTAAGATTCCAGACTCAATTCTGCTGCCAACTTGCAGTGTGATTTTAAGCAAGCCCTTTCCTCTCTCTGTGCTACGGTTTCTTTTATGGAAATAGGGCCCTTCCAGGTCTAAAGCTGTGGGATTCTAAATTGTGCAAAAGAGAGACTAGGAAGTTGCTTCCAGGGCTATGGAGGGGATTACGATCAACAGACAGACATCGCAGTGGGGAGAATCAAGGTCATCATCAGAGGCACAATGCTGGCTCTCTCTTTTTGGAGCAGTTTTGTCTACCTACTTCTGCTAACTGGGCCTTATTGAAGCCTGGTCTGGTCTGCAACTTGTAGTGTCGTTTATAACGTCGTAGAGTGTTCACCTGGAGCTGGAACAGATCAACCTAGAGAGGAAAGAAGAAACACATTATCCATAACCCGACCAGCCACAACTCACCAAGAGCCCACTATGTGCCTAGCACTACACTCGGCAGGGGTGGGGATGAGAGGACTACGTCCACAGAATACTAATAACTGGCTGGGAGGACAAAAATGACAGTGGAAAAAGAGGTCTGGCTGGGGAGGGGTGGTCCCAGAAGGCTGATGGAGGTGGTGAAGCTTAAGCACAGGAGAGGCAGGGTTTAGAAAGGCAGTGACTGCAGAGATAGAGTAGGGAATGAGACAGAAGACCGAGAGCACAGGAAAAACCAGGAGATGAACAGATGGGCTAGGGGGTCATAGGCAATTGTGACAGGTTTAAAAGGTGAGATCGGGTGGGAGCATGTCTTGAAAAGCAGAGGGAGCTGTCACAGGTGTTGGAGGGTGATGTTCTGGGAAGATGGATCTAAGGGTGGTCTGTAGGAAAGAGGGAGATGCTGCATCAGTGATCCAGAAAGGAGATGATGGAGTTGAGCTTTGGAGGGGTAGTGATGCTGGAGAGGACACCAAGCATGGAGAGCAAAGGTAAAACCAGACAGATGTCCTGGAGGAAGACAGACCAGCGCGTGGCAGCAGACTGGACAGAGGGGCGTGAAGAAGGACGGCGGGAAGTACTGTTATTCTCAAACAGTCCTTTCCTAGGCTCAGCCTTCAGGTCAGAGTCCTTAACAACCCTCCAGAGCAAGCTCAAAAGCTACTGTAGTGAACGTACGAATCAGCAGGTTAGGGTCGGGGGCTCTGCAGATGACTGGATAACAGAGGGGAAAGGACCCCCCCTTTTTTCTAACACAGGAAGAGAGGAAAGCTGCACAGTCATGAAATATTGAAGGCCCAGAAAGTCGGGCTGCCTTTACCTGCCTCTAAAAGAGATGTTCTTGCTTCAGGCAGGTGGAGAGCACTTAAAAACAAAATGAATGATCAATATGAGGGACCAAAGTCCTTCATTCTTTTCAAAACATTCCTCAAACCTTTTTTTTTGTGAAAAGCATTTAGAAAATGAATACATCCATTTCTTTACAAAATAATAATAATAATGCTAAAGGCAATAGAAAGATATCGTAAACCAATGCTAGAAAAGGGGACACAGGGAGGGGCAGAGGGAAAGGCCGTATTTTCAAAGGTTTCCTCCACATCTACAGACAAAGGCCCGCCTACTCTTTCTATTCCTACACAGTCATTTTCACTCTGAGTGCTAACAGGCGGTTGCCTTATGAAATATTCATGCGTCAAATATTCAATGTACATTATAAACGGCTCTTCTTTTGCTGAGTCTTAAGTGAAAACAATTTAGATGGAAAATCCAATATTCCTTCCTGTAGCCTTGCTTAACAGACACTGCACCTTGAAGGAAAGGCAGCCTTCTGGTTTGAGAAGCCTAGCTCTCATTATCTAGCGTGATGGTTCTCAACAGGGTGCAATTTTGCCCCTCAGGGGACATCTGGCAATGTCTGGAGACATTTTTTATTGTCATGACTCAGGGGGTGGTATGACTGGCAACTAACTAGGGGGCAGAATCCAGGGATGCTGCTAAACATTCTACAATGCACAGGACAGCCCCCACAACGAAAGAATTATCTGGCCCCAAATGTCAATAGCGCCAAGTTGAGAAACCCTGGTTCAGTGTAACTGCCTTTGAAACGGATCCTGGGGAACAAGCCTGGACCGGGAACCAGAGAGTGACAGAAAATCCAAGCTGGTATGAACTGCAGACTTACACCTTCATTTTGCAGGCCACAAAACAGAGGGGAAGTGACTTTACCCAATCCATACACACTGTCTCCAAGTTTAAAGGCAAAAGCAAAGTTTTGAACAACTTGACGTTGTCGTTGTATGTAAGCATTTGGCAGGGGCTTCCTGCAGAAAGGCACCCTGGCCTACTGGAAAGGGCTCTGAACCAGAGCCCCTAAACCGCAGGCGTGACCTCAGGCCTCTGCGCCTGTCTGTAAAACGACAGGCAGGCAGACCAGCTGATCTCTAAGCTTCTAGCTCTCAGATTCCATATTTCTATGATTCTACCATTCGCTTTTCAAATAAACCACAGCAAAACGAAGGGGACTAAAATTACTTCCTAGCACAAAAAGCAGATCAGGCCAGAGGTAAGGTTCAGATTAGAATCCATTCTTCCAGCTTTCTGAAGCTAACGTTTTTGACCTTTACCTCAGGAATGTCAGTGTCATGCTCAGGAGAGTCTCCACCATCGTCACTTGTCTTCCTCTTCCTTTTATTTCGTACACTCTGGATGAAATTTTTGTGGAAATCGCAGATATACAGGTGCCTTACCTGAGGGGAAGCAAATTAAAGTCAGATTTGCCAATTCCATGGAAACAGCAACAGGTATCTGTCAAATTATGGGGCTTCTCTCCCTTGCAAGGCATTAGAGAGAGGGAAGGAAGAACAAGATGCAGGCCATAATTTCCAGAAGTTTACTACGAGTTGCAGAACAAGAAACCCACAGAGAGAATGCTAACAGCACACTGGGCAGTGTGTTAGGAACCAAGTCCCCACTGAATGGTAAAGACGATAAACGGTACAGATTTAGCAAAGGGAGAGATTCCCTGCGGCCGAGAGAGACAGGGTGGAGGTCCCTGACTAGAAGGAGGATTTGTAGGTAGACAGGAAGCCCTCCAGATGGGGAGAAGAGCCAAGGCTTAGAGTTCCAAATGAGGAGGACAGAAGGTGTGAGCGAGGAGGCCCAGGGTAGACACTGTCAGATAGGTGGAGGTGACCGCCCATGTAGGAGCTTAAGGAGAAATTCAGGGTGGGGAGGCTATGAGCACAGCTTAGGCTTTCCTTCAGACAAGACAGAGTCCCCCAAGGTTTCTGAAGCAGGGAGTGAGGTGACATTTTCAGACCTGTAGGAGTTATGAACTTACAATGGGCTGGAACGCATTGCTCCAGGGAGGACGAAAGCAGGAAAGAAGGGACTGTGCTAATGGAAGACAGGACATCCTAGTTTTACATTGACAACAGCTACTACTGTAGGATGACAACTCTCCGAACAACTTGATTACTGTGTACGAGTCTCTAATTCTTGCATTACCACACATCTGATCCACAAAGAAAAGCAGAAAGAGACGCAGAAATTCTCACAAGGTGGAACCACATAAAAGAAGCTAGATACTACGCTGATTTTCTAATTCAGGCTGGAGGCATAACTGTAAATGAAGGTGGCAACAGCAGCTAAGATTGAAGAACGTGTTTTTATTTAAGAATATAAGTACCAGAGTTGGCTGGAGGAACCATTCAAAAACCTAACAGAAACTGAATGCCTGTGTAAATGACTTGGGGTTGTTGACACCGAAACAGATGTTCCACAAATGTTCTCGAGAGACTTCTGAATGAGTTTACTTCTTAAATTCTTAAGGATAAAAGTAAACTGATAGGAAACCGGCATCAATTAATTCAGACCTTTTCATGGAGAAGATAATGAAAACTTCTTTTTATTCCGATGAATTATGACTTTCCTGTGGTTGGATTAGTGAGTCAGGAGGAGTTTTAGGTTTATATTGTGATGCTGCCTTGCAGACAGCAGGTGTTCAATAAATGCTGTTGCATCAACACAGGCAGGCCCCTTGCATCTGAAAGCAGCTCTGGCCAGTAAAAGCCATCATTTACATACGGTTACAAACTGGAGTAGCTTTGCCAGATTCGACTCTGTCAAAGGACTTTCAGACACAGCACGTGTCACTGTCCGGAAGAATCCGGCCTAGCTGATGGGTAGACTACATCCTTTATCTCGGAGGAAAGCACACTCACAGCACACTCCACACCCTGAGAGGAAGCTGGCCCTCCTGCGAGCTGGTGCCACACGTAAACTCCAAGAGATTGAGCAGCTCCTCAAACTCATAGAGTGACAGCCTTGGTAGAACAGGCGGAAGAGGTGACTCCCAGAGCTGTGGCTGGGAGCTTTCTGGTCAGGACACTAGAGTAATAGAATCCTAGATGGAAGAGAACTAAGCAATCACGAGTGTAACCCCACTGGCCTCAATCTCATTTTCTTGAAGGATAAACTGAAGCCACCCAGAGCAGAGAAATGACCTGGCCAAGGTCACCCAGGCCTTCTGGCCCCCACCTCACATCCTTTCCCAACCCAACATCTTCCTTATACTATTCTCAACTTCCACTTTTCTCCAGAAAAAAGCAGAAATACGTCAGTTGGAGAAACGTTTGAAAGCATATCTTAAATCACAGAACAGTGCCAATGTCTACATTAAATGAGTTAAACTACCTGACTTGGATTTTTGGTGCTATTATTTAAGAAGGTTCTCCGCCTGACCCTTTTCAAGATAGTCATTATTCCTCCTTCACCGTTTTCAAGCACATACTGGTTTTCAGAAATTTCAGAGCTCAGTGGCCTGGTGGTGGGGGTGTGGGGGGTGGGGAAGGAGGGTGGTAGCAAGCCTCTAGTGGTGTTTTCTTTTCACTTTCTGCAAGAGCTAAAAATTCTTGTAACACAGCAGTTACTTAGAATTGAATTCCTGCCCAAGCCTGTGAGAAGGAAATAGAGTCTCTTTCAGAAATAATGACTCTACACCACCACCTTGAAACAAAGTGCGAGTGAGTCCAGCTCAAATGCTCCTCCTCAGCAGTCAGCTTCCAGAACTCTAGTGCCAGGCTCAGGCGGCCTCTCTCCTAGACGGTGTGTGAGAAACGGTCAACACGGCTCAACACAGGGTTTCCAGTCGTGAAAGGAGCCCCAGTTGCAGCAGCACAATTGTTCAGACTTGACAGCATCCAAGGGTTTAAAAGAACTGGAAATTTCTTTTCTTTAAGGACTGGAAAATATTACTACTATAAGCTGTTCAAGTAAAGACTCCCAACAACCTACAGAGAAGGCAGGCAGTGTTTCCAAGAGGAGGAATTCATACTATCTTAGAATTAAGCATTTCACTTCAACGTGTGTCCTCATCAGGACCACCTTGGTGACTAGCCAGTTGTTTGCTCTGAGATGAATTCCTTTCATTCAGTCATAGAGATTTGAAGTAAGAAAACCATTAATTCACCCCCAACCATTTTAAAATAGTGTCTTTCCATTCAAGAGTTGCAAATATATTATAATTGTTAACTTTAAAAGAAAATAAGGGGAAGGAGGGGCAGCCCAGCAGTGGCGAAGTGGTTAAGTTAGCGGCTCCGCTTCAGAGGCTGGTTGTTTGGGGTTCAGATCCCAGGCACGGAGCTACACACCACTCATCAAGCCACGTTGTGGCAGTGTCCCACATACAAAGTAGAGGAAGAGTGGCACAGATGTTAGCTTGGGGACCATCTTTCTCAAGCAAAAAGAGGAAGATTGGTAACAGATGTCAGCTCAGGGCCAATCTTCCTGCAATAAGAAATTGTAAAAAATTGGAGGTGGGAGGGAAGAGCCTGGAAGAAAGGGAGGGGAAGATTTTTCATTTACTAAAGACTTAATCAAGGCTTATGCCTGGCACGTGGAAGCAAATCAGAGAATGGGTTTAAGAACTTAACCAGCCACTTAAGTGCTGTGTGATTCTGGCACCGCCACTTCCTATCTCTGAGCTTTAGTTTCAACTGTAAAATCAGAAGTGGAAAAGTAGGCGTCCTTTCCGTTTAACAAACAATCTCTGATTTCCCCCAACAGCGGAGAAATTTTGGTCCTAAAAGAGAACAGACGTTAAGCACCTAAGCTCCTAGCTGGTCTACCTGAATATTAAATACCCCTCAACTCATTTCCAGTTCCCAATCAGGAGGCAGCCACTTAGGGCTTGCAGCAACAGATGTCAAACTGAAAAGTTCTTAATTGGCTGACAATAGGCACATCTTTAGAACTGTTAAATAGAAGAGGTGAAATCACACAGAAAAGTTTCCCTATAATTACGCACAAAACACGGGGCAATTCTATTCAAATCTGCATCTCCCCTCCACCCCCTTGGCATTTCTAAAGAAGTTCACCCCTAAGAAAATTGATTTTCTTCCTTCTAGTCGTTCCGACCTGCAAGAGCCACCTCCCAAGGCCGGGTCTTGGCCTCATTTCTGCCACATCCTTGAAAATCCCACTTCCTCCCAGCCGTACGCGAAGCAGGGAGCTCGGCGACCCTCTGCAGAAGCGGAGGCCGCGGCAGACGGGGAAGTTAACTGCCACCTCGCCTTTTCTCAAGGAATCACAGGGATCCGAGAAGGAGGGAGAAGTTGGAGAAGAACCGGGTCCCCTTCATCACCCCCTCCCCAGTACTCGCTCCTTCGTGGGTCAACAAAATTAGCCCACCTGTCCCTGCTCCAAGAGCTAAACCGATAAAACAAGCTAAAAACTGCTGTCAAATCCTCGCAGGCAGGCAGCGTCCTCGGAGCCCCCGCCCCCAGCCTCCCGGATTTGGGCACAAGCCCCGTCAGCGGCCGTCCGCGCGGAAGCGGCCTTGAAATCCCGAGCCCCCTCCCCAGTGTGCAGAGGGCGGGCGGCGAGGCCCAGGGCGGGGAGGGCCCCGAGGCCGGCCGGCAGCCGGAGGCGGCGGCGGGGGCGGACTCACGCTCTTGTCGATGTCCAGCTTGAGTTTCTTCTGAGAGATGCTCTTCTGGACTCTCTTGCTGAAGGAGGCGTTGCCCGCGGGCCGGACGCAGCGCTCGCCGTCCTCGATGAGGCAGCAGCTCTGGCCGTAGCCCGGGGCGGCGGCGGGGGCGGCGGGGGGCCCTTCGCGGCTGTCCTCCTCCGTGCTAAAGCCGTTCATCTCCCCGCCCCGGGCCGGCCCCTCTGCGGGAGGGTTCCCTGTAGGCCACTCCGCGGCCGCGCTGCCCTGGGGGCAGTCGCTGAGGCCCCCGCACCCGAGGGTCCCCGAGTCCGTCTCCGGCCGAGGCGCTGCCCTGCCCCGCGCCCGGGAGGCCCGGCTCCGCTGCGCCGCGCTCCGGCTCCTTCGGCCCCGGGCCCCGCGTCTCCGGAAAGCCCCTTCCTCCCCGCTCGAGGCCCCGGGGTCGGCTCTTGCGGCTCGCAGGGCCCCGCCGGGGGTCACCCGGAGGCGCCTTCTGCCGGGGGCCCAGAACCGTTACCCTTCGGCGGGGGCGTCCGGGAGGCCGTCCCAGGAAGCAGCCGCTCCCCGGGGACTCCGGGTCCGGGCTGCCAGGAGGTTTCGAGGGCCCCCGCCGGCTCCCGCCTTCTTTCGGCTGCGGGGCAAACTCGCCGCCGGGCAGATCCCCCGGGGTGGCGCGGCCTCCCCGCGCGGGGCCCGGCCTCGAACCCGCGGCGCCCGGGCCCCGCGGCGCGTCCGGCCCGCCCCCCCTCCTGCAGCCGCTCGGCTGCGCCCCGAGTCCCGCGGCAGCCCCTGGGCCGCCCGGCCGCCGCCCGCCCAACGCTCCGCACCACAACAGTTCGCTCCCCCCGCCCTCCGCGGGACAGCGGAAGTCCCGCCTCCGCGCGCCCATTGGTAGCGTTCGCTCTCTGGGCGGGGCCTCCGCCGCCGCTGGCGCGCCCCATTGGGCTCGGCAGCCGCCAGTCCCCGGCGCCTGGCTACTTCCTGGACTCTGCTGGGATGGGTTCAAAGTAGAGAAAGTGGAACAGGGAAGAGTTCCCTGGGTAAGGGAGGGGAACGGGGCCGCAGACTCTCCCGGCCCGGGGAGGAACCGTGTGCAAGGCCCTGGGTGGACAGACGGCCAGACTCCGGGAACGGAGGATCACATTCGGGGGCGGACAGAAGTACAGACGTGGGCGGGGGCGCCGAGGAACAGACATTGGGAGGAGCATGTGAGGGGGAACCTAAAGGGAATAGAGATAGTCACGACAGGGACAGACTGGATAAAACGGAAGGACTAGGGACAGAGGACCCGCAGACTGGTGGGAGGTAGGGTGGGTGAAACAGGACAGAAAGCCAGTCATCGTGGGAAAGACAGGGGGACAGTCCAGTACAGACACCAGGGAAGACGTGCAGAGGAGATGATGGGGATCTCATGGCGGGTCTTGCAAGGTAATAGGATGCTTGAGGGTGGCAGAGACCCCAGACTGTGGGGACTGGGGATGGTTTGGTCGGCGCGGAAAGAGAATGGGAGGAAGGAAGGAGACCCCCAGGGGCTTGGGTGACCCCTCCGCTGGGAAGAATCGGAAGTCGGGATAAGGTCTGGAGGGTGGACTAGGTGAACCGCAGGGAACAGGGGGCGCTGCGGAGGGCATGGAGAAAAGGCTGGGGGTGGAGGACCAAGGGTCAATCCTGGCATGAGGAAGGGCTTGCCGAGTCTTGGGGCCTCCGTGGAGATCTGTAAACTGTAGCTTTCATTGCTTTAAGCCTTCCGTTCTACCCGCCAGGTGACCGCGCCCTCCCAAGCCCGGGAGCTCTGGGTTCATCGTCCAGGGCGTGACACACACCCAGAAAGGTCGTGGGGAAATCCTCTAGTCTAGCACCCCTAGTCGGGCCACCTCACCCCTGGGCAGCTTGGAGACAAATGAAGGCCAAAGGTCCGAAGGGATTAGCCCAGTGTCATGCGGTCATTCAATCATTTAGGGCTGGGTAGCATTTTCTAGGAGGAGCTGCGTGGCGGGGGCAGGGCGTGCTAGGTGAGCGCCTGTACCTGCTTTGATAGTACTAGGTGGCATTGAAGAGGCTTCTGGTTTGTGTTCTGTTGAAAAAGGGAAAGCTGCTAGTTTCCATGTTTAGAAGCAGATGCCCTGTGATCTTAAGTTTTCCTCAGTGGCTTTAAATGTATGTGTACCTTCTAGCCTAGTAATTTCACAGGTGAGACAGCCATCTTAGGAAATTGGCCTAGCAGAGAAAATTTTAAACACAATACTGTTCATTATGGGATTATTTATAATCAGAAAAATAAAAAAAGAAGCTAAGTTCCACAAGGGAAGTGGTTAAGTGAATTACCTAACGTCTTCAGAATGAGATATTTTTACAGTTATTTATGATGTTTTCAACATTTAAGGTAGTTCAATGTCAATTTTCTATACATTTCTATATATAATAATTCAGGATTGACTCTTCAACAAAGAGTTGATGTTGAGCTAGAGAAATGCTTTATTTATGTTAAGTTAAAAATGCAGGGGTCAGCCTCGTGGCGCAGCGGTTAAGTCCACACGTTGCATTTCTCGGCGGCTCTGGGGTTCGCTGGCTGGATCCCAGGTGTGGACATGGTACTGCTTGCCAAGCCATGCTGTGGTAGGCGTCCCACATATAAAGTAGAGGCAAATGGGCATGGATGTTAGCTCAGGGCCAGTCTTCCTCAGCAAAAAGAGGAGGATTGGCAGTAGTTAGCTCAGGGCTAATCTTCCTCAAAAAACAAAATGCAGGATGTAAAATTGCATATGGGATTTGATGTGTGTATGTCTGTTTAAAAAAAAGAAAAAAGAAAACTATTTGTGCATAAAAAATACACCAAAGTAATAACAGTATCTATTTCTGGGTAGTGGAAATATGGTTGATATTTTTCTCCTTTTGTTCTACGTGTGCAGTTTCCCCCAATAAACATTTATTGCTTTTACAGTAGGAAAAAAAAGTTAAAAATTAATGGAACACACACACAGTTTAATGGGATTCCTCTTTCAGAGTTCACATATTCTAAGTAAATTATTGAGCGTATTGTGTATACTCATTTCAGGGTTGGCCACAGGAGGAGGATGAAACATAATTCTGCCCCAAAAGAGAGTACCTTCTAGCAAGAGGGCTCAGACATACAAAGAAAACAGCTGGGTATCTGTACAAGGCAGTGTGTGATGTTGGTTTCAAAGTTGATTGGTGTGGATAAGAGTTCTACATTTCCCACATATATTTTGCACTTGCATACTTTTTTAAAACAGCATTTGCATCCAGCGCCGGCCTACTGGAGTACACAGAGATTCTTTGGCACCAGCTTCCCCAGGCACCACTCCTTGGGCAAGGGGCTGTGGAGGTGGGGTTTCCTTGGGTGCTCTATCTCAGCCCTAGGGGGTTGGCTGCTCCTTATATCTGCTCTTCCTGTGTTCTTTGGAGTTCTCTTCTTACTAGGCAATGCCTTGTTACTACAGTCCCCTGTTATAATTAATAAATCTTTCCCTGTTCAAATTACTGTGTGGTTTCCCTTTCCTAATTGGACCCAGATTGATACCCCCAGCCTCTGTGTATTTTTGGGGGGTGGGGGGAAGGTGCATGCTTTTAACTATCCTTTACGTAGAATTTTATAGTCTTTCTTCAGGGAATGCTTTAGCCTAGGCTTTCCCCCATGTTATTATGGGGGTTGGTTCTAAATAGCAATATATGGAAAAAATTATGATCCTTTTGCTGGGGAGTAAATCGATAACTCCAGAGAGGAAATATAAATATTCAGATAATGAAGAAATGAGTACAGGAGAGAAGTTTCTGTGATCCTGTTCTGCTTTGTGTAGGATTTAAGATTCCTGAAATGGCCAAGAGAATCTGATTTGCTACATTTATAAGTTTAGTAATTAATTTACAACAATTGCTTAAGTGCTTAGAAAGATCTTGCTTTTTAGATTTATAAGTCTGCCCTGTTCAGCATTTAAAGTGTTTTGAGAAAATCAGGCATATTAAATTTGTACTTGTAGTCTGAAATGTCTAAGGAAATTTGATTAATTAAGGCTGTAGGTCTGTTAAATGTTTAAGGAAGACTGAATCTACTAAAGAATTAATTCAAAAGTAATCAAAGAACAAGTGAAAGAGATTGTCCTTATCTTTATATGAAAAATTACTAGATTTGTAATAAAGAACAAGATTTGTAAGTTGAACTTAAAGCCTTTAAGGAAAGCTAGGTTTTAAAATGGCAACTTGAGTCAGTAACTGTAACATTCTTTTCCGTACCCAAACCCACCCCCAGATATTTAAAATTGCTGGTTGATAACCCCGCAACTTTATAGTTCTAGCTGAGACCTCTCCTTTGAGCTCCAGATAGCATTGTTCATCTGTTTGCTTGGAATGCTACAGTGGCATCACAGACCAACATGTTCAAGTTATAACCTTCAACACCCAAATCCATAAACTGCAACCTGTACCACCTCTGTGTCTCCCTTCCTCTCACCCAACTCCAAGTTGACCCATGATCGAGACACTTTCTGCTACTTCCAATAGATATTTACAATCTGTGCCCTTTGCTTCATTTCGTATGGCCAGCTGCCCAGCCCAAGCCACAACCATCTTTTGCCTGAAAGATGAGATGCCTTTTCACTGAGCTGGTCCTTAAACCGCTCTTTCCACAGGGAGCATCTACACAAACCAGACCATGCCATACCCTCCATAAAGCCCGTCCCCAGCTTCCCAGTGTATTCTGACAGCACCTGTGAAGTCTTTGCACTTGCAGTTCCCTCTGCCTGCAATGCTGTTCCACCTGCTCCTCCCATGGCTGGCTCCATCCTTCAAGTCTCAATTTAAATGTCACTTCCCCAGAGAGTCTTCCCTGATTGAAAGTAGTTGGTCTCTCCCACACCTGCCTATCACGATTCTCTATTCAGGGTCTGTTCTTATTAGCACTCATCACAATATGCAATTATTCTACTTTATTGTTATTATTTTTGTTGTGTGACTGTCTTTCTCAATACAATATAAGCTCCGTGAAGGCAGGACCACGTCTGTCTTGTTTGTTGCTGTAGCTCCAGCACATACAACACTAATTCTTCAATCCTGGTGGCTAACAGAATAGGGACTCACTAAACGATTTTCAATAAACTAATTTAAATATACCCAGCTACACCAAGATATTAAGTTTAAAAAAAAAGACACATGGCAGTATGTAGAGTGTAAATTCCATTGTATTTCTTAAGAATTTTATATACACATATATATACCTACTAAGGGTACACAAGAACTAGTAAATGTGGTTGCCTCTGTGGGGGGACTGCAGGTCAAGGGAGGAAAGGTAGGAAGAATTAGAATTTTATAACCCTTTTTCCTATTTGGCTATCTTACTATATCCCTGTATTTCTTTTATTATAATAATAATAATGATGCTACCATCTTTTTTGGCACTGTAATTAGGTAGGAAATATGGAATATCAAAAAAGTAGGAAGATTCTCAGAATAAAGGACAGACATTTAAATGGAATAAATTTAGCTTCATGAAAAATCCACAATATTGTCTTTATTTCTTGCATTCCACTGAGGACCTGTGAGAGCATCCTCTGGCTCTGGCCCTGGTCTGCAGCCTGGCTTGTGACAGGCATTGTAGCTACTGGCACCATGGAAAAGAGCAAAGGCTCTGGGCTCAGAAGCAGTTGGTCTGAATTCCAGCTCTGCCACTTTACTAGCTGTAGGACCATTGACAACGTAAACTAGATGAGCCTCAGTTCTATTCATCTGTAAAATGGGATGATAATAGTACTTCTCTGATAGGGCGACTGTGAGGATCAATGTGATCATGTAAAGCAGTAAGCACAGTGTCCTGCACATAGTAAATGCTCGGTAAGTGGTAGTTATGATTTCATCCATTAGACGCTGACAGCCCTAAGCTTCCCATTGCACTCCGAGTTCAGATATCTGCAGGTTAGGGAAGGAGACATCATATTCCAAGATGGCAAGGTGGTACTGCTTATCTGCCAATAGTTCAGTTTCTACATGGGTGGTCTACATATCCATCTGCACAGCAATGACTGGGAAAGTACTTGATCATTTTATTATATCTTAACCTGATTTTATAAAATTGTGTAAATGTAAAAATATGGTAGTGATAAGAAGTACGTTTATATCAAGAAAGTGAAAAGACAACCTACAGAATGGGACAAAATGTTTACAAATCATGTATCTGATAAGGGACTTGTATTCAGAATATATAAAGAACTCTTATAGTAATAAAAAGACCAATTAAAAAGTGGGCAAAGGGCTTGAACAGACATTTCTTCAAAGAAGATATACAAATGGCCAATAAGCACATGAAAAGACACTCAACATCACCAGTCATTAGGGAAATATAAATCGAAACCACAATGAGATATTACTTCACACCTACTAGGATGGCTATAGTCAGTAAGACAGGCAAAAGCAAGTGTTGGTGAGGATGTGGAGAAACTGAAGCCCGCATATTGCTGGTAGGAATGCAAAAATAGTGCAGCTACTTTGGAAAACAGTTTAGCCGTTCCTCAAAATGTTAAACATGGAGTTACCATACGACCTGAAAATTCCACTCTTAGGTATCTACCCAAGAGAAATAAAAGCGTATGTCCACACAAAAACTTGTACATGAATGCTCACAGCAGCATTACTCATAATGGCCAAAAGGTGGAAACCACCCAAATGTCCATCAACTGATGAATGGGAAAATGAAATGTGGTACATCCAGACGATGGAATGCTTTTCTGCAAGAAGAAGGAATGAAGTAGTGATACATGCTACGACATGGACAAATCTTGGAAATATTACCCTAAGTGAAAGCCAGATGCAAAAGGCCACACGTTGTCTGATTCCATTTATGTGAAAGGTCTAGAAAAGGCAAATTTATAGAGACAGAAAGATTAGCAGTTACCAGTGGCTGAGGGACTGGGGACATTGGGGTGGGGAGTGACAGCTAATGGGTACAGGGTTTCTTTGGGGGGGGCACAAAACATTCTGGACTCAGGAAGTGGTGATGGTTGTACCACCTTGAGATTATACTAAGACCACTGAATCATATACTTTAAATGGATGAATTATATCTCACTAAGGGAATTATGTGTATTGTTAACTCTTTATAATTGATATAAAGATAGAAATCATTAGATTTGTTGAAAGGGATGAATCTTTAGCCGGCACTCAATGTTCTTAAGCCTATTTTTTGGTCAGTGAAGGCAAATGATCAAATTGAAGATATAGTAGGAAACGCAGGAAATACATCATCAAAGATTGTATCCAAAAATGCAGGTGTAATTGGAAATGTTACACCGTTTTTATTCCCTAGGAACAGATGTGCCCTGTTGAAAGAATAAATTTGTGGTGTGGCTTTTGTACTTTTGATGTTGGACACATTTTCAGAAACCTGTAAAAGAAGTAGAGCTCTGTGTATATAGTACTCTGCCACGGGAAGGCAAAAGATGCCCAACAAAGTGTTGGAGAGGATGTGGAGAGAAAGGAACCCTTGTACACTACTAATGGGAGTGCAAACTAGTGCAGCTACTATGGAAAACAGTATGGAGATTCCTCAAAAAATTAACAATAGATCTACCATATGACCCAGCTATTCCACTGCTGGGTATTTATCCAAAGAACTTGAAAACACAAACGCATAAAGATGCATGCACCCCTATATTCATTGCAACATTATTCACAATAGCCGAGACTTAGAAGCAACCTAGGTGCCCATCAAGAGACGAATGGATAAAGAAGATGTGGTATATATACACAATGGAATACTATTCAGTCATAAGAAACGATGAAATCTGGCTAATTTGTGACAACATGGATGGACCTTGAGGGCATTATGCTAAGTGAAATAAGTCAGAGGGAGAAAGTCAAATACCGTATGATCTCACTCATAAGTAGAAGATAAAAACAATGACAAATAAACACATAGCAACAGAGATTGGATTGGTGGTTGCCAGCAGAGAAGTGAGGAGGGACGAGGTTGAAAGGGGTGATTAGGCACGTGCGGTGACGGATTGTAATTAGTCTTTGTGTGGTGAACATGTTGTAATCTACACAGAAACCGAAATATATAACAATGTACACCTGAAATTTATATAATGTTATAAACCACTGTTACCACAATAAAAAAAGAATTAAAAAATCAAAACAAGCAAACAAACAAAATCATATAACAAACACTCATGAGTCCAACACTCCTCCTAAGAACTAAAGTCTTATCAATAACGTATGTCCACCCATGTGCTCCTCTCCTATCCAGTGCTCAAAACAAAACCAAGAAAACCCACCACTCGTGGCATCTTCCGGGTCACTTGTGGACATGTGCGTGTGTAGAGTGGTGAAAAGTTTGAGTGACCCACCACACCCGTTCCCAGCTGAGGTCAGTTCAGCTCCCATGCTGTAAACAAGTGTCCTTTTTGTGGTCTATTTAATTCCACGTTTTTCATATTGTTGTTCTTTTGGTTTAACATGCCCCCCAGCATGGTGCTGGGGTGCTGTCTAGTGTTCCCAGGCACTAAGATGTGATTTTTGGAGAACGTGTATGTGTTAGACGAGTTTCACTGAGGCATTAGTCATGGTGCTGTGGGCTGGGAGTTCAATGTGAACGAATTAATAATCTATATTCAATAAAGTGTCTTTAAACAGAAATGCACATAAAACAGGGTTTTGTATTGGTCAGTTGATGAAAATGTGGTGACAAGAGGCTCACAGGCACCTAAACTTGTCTTCCCTAGGAGCAGTGGTTCCGTCCTGGCTAATTCTGTGTTCACGGTGACTTCATAGAACATAACTGCTGTGAATTACGAGGTTGAACTGTTTATCAGGATAAGTGCCGGGAAGGGAGCTACAAAGGTGCTGAGAATGATAGAGGATGATGTGTGTGGGGGTCTATACTTGATAGGGTGGTCGAGGAAGCCTCTTGGGGTGGTGACAGTTAAGCTGAGACCTACAGGATGAAAAAAAGCTGCCAAGCAGAGGGACCAGCAGGGAGCTGGCAGTGAGAAAGCCTTGGCCTGTGCTGGCACCTGAGCCCTGCTGGGGAGGTGATGGAGAAGCAGTCAGGGGCCAGCCCTGAAGGACCTTTTGGGCCTGGCTAAGAAGTTTGGGTTTATTCTGAAGGCCTGGAGTAAAGTTACAAGCTGTGAAATTACAAGCGAGCAGTGCAATCAAGTGCTTCGCTTCTTCCCTGTCTGGGTCCCTGTCTGTCCTCATCACTGGGCTCTAGAGGTCGCAGATGATTCCTTCTTCACCTCTGTGTTTCCAGGGCCTGGGATGGAGCTGGGACCAACCACCAAGGGGCACAGAGCGCAGACCCCCATGGGCCCACAGTACCTGTTCCAGTATGTGTTTGTTAACTGAATTATCAAGCCCTGGCATTCCACGGCTGTAGCTGTGAAGAAACTGTAGCAGGGACTTTTCCCAGAACCTGGACCATCCTAGAATTCAGGCCTCAGCTCCCCAGGCTGACTGATAGGCCAGTGGTGGGGTAGCTTAGCTGTCAGCTCCAGCAAAGGCAGACCCACCATCCCCGTCTCCCCATCCCCAGGCAGGAGCTGGCAGGAGATCAGACGCTACTTCAATTCCAAGTAGCTCGTGAACAAAGGCTGTAAAGTTGCTAAGAAACCTGCTTTCTGAGAGTTCACTGTGTGTTCCTTTGTTTCTATGGTGTTGTGTGTGTGAGTGAGCGCACCATGGGCCGTTATGCTGCCAGCCCTGCATCAGGTTAGAACTGCAGGCTGCTCTGGGCACCGTCATGGACCCCAGCCACTGCCCAGCCAGGCAGCCCAGGCGTTGAGGGCGAACAAAAGAGGAGGCAGCTGCCCGAGGCCAGAGGTTGGCAGAGCTGTGAGCAGCTGCGAGAAGGAAGCTTTGGATACTGAATCCTGGACCCACTTCAGCAAAAGCCCAGAAACTCTAAGGTGGGAGACACAACAATAGCAGAGGGAGGGGGTCCCATTCCCATCCCCTAGCTGAGCTTGGAAAATAAATCCTTAATGAGATCAGGCCACTGCAAAATACTAGATGCCAGACTGGTAGAACTATGAGTCCAGGCCGACCATTATCTAATATGCTCCCCTTCTCCCCAGAGTCATATGGAGAATCTGAGGCTTGGGGAGGGGAAGGGGCGTTCTCAAGGGCACAGAGCAGAGAACAAATGTAGAAGCACTCTCTATAGAATCTATCAGATCTATGGGCTGTGAGGGGAGGAAAAAAGGCCTAAACTGTAATCTGAAACTATCTTACGCATCCATTTGTCCACTCATCAAATGCTTATTGAGCCCTTACTAGGTGCCAGGAGCCCCGAAGTCCCAATCTTAACTAAACACAGAAAAAAACAGGATCCAAAACTTGGAGCAAATTGCCAAGTTCTCTGAATCTCTTTCCGATAAGCATGCCAGCAGCACCAAGAGAGCTCCCACTCCATGTCCGGCTAAGCACGTGACCTTGGACTCACTGTGGGCTGGGCAGGAAGGAGCTTCCCCCCAGCCCTGAGGAGGCACCCGAGGGCCAGCCGCCCTGGATCTGTTTCCCACTCTGTAGGCCCCAGTACCCCACACGCCTGGTACCTTGAGCAAGTCATTCTCGGTGCTAGACATCAGTTAAGGGCACATCTGATGCTGCCCTCACTCTGTCCAGTTTAAAACTCTCTAATGCTTCCTACTGCTTTTAAAATAGACATCAGAGACTCCTTAACATGGCCCACAAAGCCCTGCAGGGTCTGGCTTCTGCCTACCCCCTCCTTGTCTCTTCTTTCTATCCCACTCTGCCCCAGCCTCATCTGCCTTCATACCTTCAGAACACACATAGCCGTCATGCTCCCTCCACCTGGAATGTTCTTCCCTTTTTTTTTTTCCTAGTAACAGTTAAATCTTTTTGAAGGAACCATTAACATTTGTAGAAGAAAATACAGGTTAAAAATTATCATATTTATGGGTGGCAAAGTAGTTTTCAAACAAAAAACGATGGAAGTTACAAAAGAAAATATCGACCCTTTGGTTCCAGGGCTCAAACCTGCGCGTGGCCAGTGAACCGATTCCCCGAGCCACGGTCCACAGCGCCCCCTGGTGGGACTTGAGAGACAGCACCAGCAGGCTGCTTCTGCTCATGGTCACCAGCAGCTCACACCAAGACTCAACCAGAGGACCATGGGTGGAGCTGGAAGCATCATCCCTTCTCGTTTTACTGCAGAATACTGAGGTCTAGGGGGCGGGACTTACACAAGCTGTCACTGAGTCTGTTGCAGAGCCAGGCCAGCCCGTGCTCTTTCCACCACAAGGTATTACACACAAAATCTAATACTCAAAAGCATCAAAATGGTTCGGTAAGTAGGGACTTGTGGCTGATGGGTGAGTAACAGCAATGAGCCAAGCTTACTTTGTATTGTCACTGCCCTCCTGAAATCCTCCACTCCTGGGTGTAGTCTGTAAGACCCTTGGTGGGCTATCCCACCCAACTCTGTGAGCTCACCTCTTTCTGTGCCTCCAACACAGGGACTCCTTCCGGCCTCAGGCACTTTGCACTAGCCTGGAACTCTCCCCTGCAAACTGCCTCTTGGCCCACATTCCCTCAGCTCCCACAGAGAGGCATTCCCTGACCATCTTACCTGATGCGGATCTCCACCCCAGTCTCTAAAGTATCTTGTTTCATCTCCTCCATAGCCCTGGTCACATCTGCAATCACCTTGGTTTGTTGTCTGAGATCTCCCTTCCTCTCTAGAACGATGGCTGTTGGGCATTTGATCAGTACCCAGCAGCGGGCCTGGGTACCAAGTAGGCGCTCAATGAGTATGTGGGGAATGATGAATGGAGAATGGCGCATGACAAAGAATAAGCCAGAGACCATGTTAGAGAAAGTCTGGAGGTTTACTCAACAACAATCACAGTCACAATTGTACATGGTAAGTCAGTTCTTCACAAAGGCTCACTTTTCCAGGCAGGAGAAGAGAGGTTGGTGGTCTTGACCCTTCTCTAAGGAATCCCAGTCTGACTTCTCAAATCTCCCTGCCTGTAATCCCTTTGGGATCCCAGTCTTCAAGCCAATAACAGAGCAGGAGCCCAACCCTGTTGCCTGGCACGGCTCAATCAAGAACATTTTGGGAGCGGATGTTAAGAGGACCTTGTCACTTGGAATGTAGGTCCAACTCCCACCCCAGAGGTGGCAGTGGGCCTTGGCTCAAGATCAACTTTGAACTAAAATATTACTTCGATTTTCACAAAGAGCATCAGTTGAAAGCAGAAAAGAATTCCAGAACAGAACTGGACTCTTGCCCCTCTCCTGCACTTAGACATCTTCAGAAAACTTTAAAAGTGCATTTCCTCCTAGGAATTAGAAAAGATCACCCAATCTGTACAAACTACGGATCGCTGAAACAAGGAATCCAGATCTCTCAGCCATTACCGAAAAGTGCTTTGCCACTCTTTTGAGACTGCAGAGACTAGAAAAATCGAGATGCACAGAAAGAAATATGGAGCCATTTTCAAGGATATCACCTATTTCTTAAGGAGAAAAAGAAATTCAACAGGTAGTAGGTTTGAAAAGTGAATATATGGGAATCCTCCTGCTACGTCTTCAACAAGAACTGCTCTGGCTCCCCTGGACCTAATGTCACAATGCTCCCTTAATCACAGCATTCAAGAAATCCATATTGGATGCTAGAGAATACCAGAATCCTATGTATACTGTAGTTCGTGGTCAGATCTTTTCTGTGGATGGACTCCCTTCTGCCTCTGAGCTATTTCTTCCCAAAGGGGTGAATCAACACTTCCTGGCCTGTTTTAAAAGTTGAAAGCTCCAACTGGAGGCACAAGCTGGAATGGCTTTTCACACATGTGCCTGCACATTTAGCCACTTCCAAAAGCCTTGTACTTACAGCAAAGATGCTCTTGGCATTCCGAAATGTTTCTGGAGTCCCCCTTTGGAAAGGCTGCTGGTGGGCCACCCGGTCATGATACTTTCTAGCCACACCCTGCTTTGTGACCTCATGCTCAGAATAAAGGCTTTAGAGGAAAAGGTGCCCACATTCTCACCCATGACCTGGGTGACAGCACCTCCACAGGCTCCTGGCTGCTTTATTGAGCATCAGCTCTGGGAGTGTGAGCAGGAACCTGAATCCTTGAGACAGGTGGTTTTCAGAAATGAGGCCAAAACAATGAGAGGCCAGTGTTGGCAATCAGTCAGTCGGTCAGCTAAGCGATGAACTTCTCTCCACCCTTCCTCCATTACACACTTTGTCAAGTCCCAGCACCTACACGTGTGGGCTCAGCCAATGACAAACGCCAGAGAGCTCAGAGGACCCGCCCATCCCTTGTGCAGGGTGCAAAACCAGACTCCAAAGGAGAACTACAGAGCGGGGAAGATGAAGGCGGAGGACCGCTTGCTGCTGCTCCCGCTTTCCTCACGAGCCCTGGTCTTGCTGAACACATTGTCACCCACTTGGAGTGGGACCACTGGGAAATCTAGCCAGTGCTCCACACTCCACCTGGAGGCTAGGAGGGAAGACTGCAGGCATGGATCCCAAACACGTCCTCTCTCAGGGGCTGCTGAGGTCTTTCTAGTCCACGGACTAAATGAGTTGTCCAGCTGCCCTTTGAAATTTGGAGTGTTTCTTGCACTAACTGGAACAACTTCTGGCCTCTGACCCTTGGGGGACATCCCTGTCTCAGATCCTGCTCTAGGACCAACGTCTCCTGCTTGAAATTAGACATTAAGAAACACACACTCATCCAACTGCACACACTACCAAAAACGTTTCCCCTCCCCCCAACCCTGCCCCTTTATGTTTGGCTAGCAAGGCACTAGGAAATGGTTCAAGTTTAGGGATTTGCTGTACATTTGCATTTTTTCTTTTTAAAAGGCACAGTTTTTATTTTAATGATGCTGCATTGCTCTCTGATGATGAATCCTAACTCAACTCCTCAAATTGCAACGCTTTTGTTATCCTCGATTCTGGAAGGGGCCTCATCCTTCCTACAGAGGGCCACTTCTAAAGATGGAGCACTCATTTGGAAAAGACACGAGGGATCAACAGGCAAGCTTTGCAAGGACAGGGGCCGCCTCTCTTGCGGACAGGTGGCCAGAGCAGGGCTTGTGCTGGGGCAGAAGTGGAAGTGATGTTTTGCCAGCTACATGATTAATTGGGGTGGTAGTGGTCAGGAGTGTTTATTTCTCCCCCAGACAATTGATGGCCTTGAGATCAGCCAGCATCTCAAAGGCTCTGATCCCAGATTTATGTCTCAGTTATTTGTTAAATGACACAATCAAGAGATCCAACTCTAACTGGAATACTGATTTCAAGTATTTCCAGGGCTAGCGGTGGAAGCCATAGGTTGTAGAAGGTGATTTCCACTTCTGAATCAGTGGGGGCGGGCTGGTTACAGAAACGCTTGCTGTTAGTCTGGGAGCCCTCTGGGAGTCTGACACATGCTTAAAAAAGCAAAAGGTAAACACGAAGGACTGGCATGGAGCTGGGTGTACATCTGGTGGGACACTGGGTTCTTTTCTCCACTGCAGCTGTGATGATGGTGGGAGGTTGTACGGCTTCAGGTCTGCACTGAGGACCGTGTCACACCAAGCCCTCTGATATGATGTGATGGACACAGGTCCCCCGTCCCCTCCCCCCAACACCACCAACCTTGGATTTCACAGATTGTCTCTAGGCTGGGGGCTGCCTTGAATGGATTACACGTGGCTGGCTCCCTTAATCACAGCATTCTAGAAATCCATATTGGATGCTAGAATACCAGAATCCTATGTATATTCTAGTTTGTGATCATCTTATAGAGTTCTTTAAAAATTGCAGAGTTCTCTATGAGAACTAGAACCATGATGAGGTCAGAGGCTAGGCATCTTGCCCATGGTCACCCAGGAGGCCTCCAGACTCTGTGAGGTGAGCACTTCACACCTCTGTTCCTCTCTTAAGGCAGGTAATTTGCCTGAGAGAGAGAGGGAAATGGAAGCATTGATCAGCCAGGAAAATTCAGCCAGAATATCTAGTTTGGAGGTCTTCTACTAGGCCTTTTCCATGGGCCCAGGCTGTCTGAAACACAGCCCTGAATGGCTGGTGGCTGGGCTGTCCTTGTGCCCGGAGAGGACTAAAATAGGCGTTTCAAGTACCCAGAGAGCAAGGGGAGACATCCTGTGTGTTCACGGCTGCAAAGGAATGTCTGGGGTTCCCGCTTCTGTCCTCAGGCCTCGCAGTTGGCCAGGGTTCAGTACTGAACACTCTGAGGGCCCCGGGTATGGCCTTCGACTGCATGGCCTGGGGCTGTGGCCGAGGACAGAAGCTGGGCAGTAACTGCACTTACCCCACAACAGGTGGAAACTAAAAGGCTGAAACCAGTGGCCCCAGAAAAAAATTCCTTCCCTTTGCCGCACACGGGTGGCATGGGTGCTCAAAGCTGCCCCCAACAGGCAAAATTTGCCTCTCTTTCTAAAGGACTGTCATGTACAAGCCATCTGAAGGCTAGGCAACCCTGTGGGACTCATTTTTGGGTGGCCTAGGGCCATGACATTCCTCCTGCATAATGCTCAAGGGAACACAGAGACAAAGCTGAAAAGGCCCTCCTGGACTCCCATGATGCCATCAGGGTTAAAGCAGGCTCTGCTCTCTGTTCTCCACCCCACCTCCCCAGCTCAGGGCCTCCAGGACCAGGCAGACACCTGGCTCCAGCCTCAAGAGCCCACTTCGCCCTGGACCAGTTGGCCGGCACCTCTGCCATCACGGTGCCCACGGAAGGCCTGCCCCTTGGGAGAAGAAGGCTGCAGTGAGTGCTGGAGAAGACCCCGCCGGCCTGCCCACGGGGCGTGGAGGCTCAGTTTCTGTTGAATTTTTCCAAGACTGTTGAGTTGGTGTGTTCAAACAGCCATTGCTGCGTGCGAGAGGAGGGGTTACAGGTGTTCATGAAGATCCTGTGGTCACTCTCACTGCAGTCCACGCAACTGCCGCTGACAGGGTGGTACAGGGTCTTGTCCTGCAGAACAGGGAGGGTATCAGCCAGCTGGTGCTGGGATATGAGCAAACGGCAGCAGCAAAGACAGCAACGAGGCAGCGAGGCCACGACTGGCCAGCCACTCACAGGCCTGTTTGGCTCTCCCCTTGAGCACACGGCGAGACACGGCCTACCTCCCTTGCAGCTGACCTTGCAGTGGGCCTGCGTTCTGGCAAACGGGATGTGGGCAGAAGTGAATGAAGCGTGCCCTTCCCGGCCTGGGCCCTAATCACGGCCTGTCTCCAGTCAAATTTCATTGGCTCTCATGGTGTTTTTTTTTTTTTTTTTTAAAGATTTTATTTTTTTCCTTTTTCTCCCCAACGCCCCCCGGTACATAGTTGTGTATTCTTCGTTGTGGGTTCTTCTAGTTGTGGCATGTGGGACGCTGCCTCAGCGTGGTCTGATGAGCAGTGCCATGTCCGTGCCCAGGATTCGAACCAACGAAACACTGGGCCGCCTGCAGCGGAGCGCACAGACTTAACCACTCGGCCACGGGGCCAGCCCCATGGTGTTTTTTTTTTTTTAAATGGACTCAGTTGCCAACATTTAAGATTCTAGAGATTTCACATAAAAATCTGGATTTCTGGCTTCTCTTAAATGACTAGAAAGTCGGGTGTGGTAGGTTTGTGGAACAAATGCATGAGTGACTGGGCTCTGGTGGGAGAAGGAGTGAGGCAGTACAGTGCTTTTTTTGTGTGTGAGGAAGATTGGCCTTGAGCTAACATTTGTGCCAATCTTCCTCTATTTTGGATGTGGGATGCTGCCACAGTGTGGCTTGACAAGCAGTGTGTAGGTCTGTGCCCAGGATCTGAACCCATGAACCCCAAGCCGCTGAAGCGGAGTGTGCCAACTCTAACCACTATCCCACCAGGCTGGCCCCGTTTTTTTTTTTTTTTTTAATGAAGCAGGTTGCCCTGTTCCCCCACAGATCCTGTCTTACCTTGCGGTATTTCCAGAGCTGGTTGCCCTTCATGCTGTGGCAGTCGTAGAGGGTGACGGGGCTGGTGTGGGAGACGGCGTCGAAGCAGAACTTCTTGGTGTGCTGGGGGTCTCCAGGCCGGATGTCCTCTCTCCAGGTGAAGGTGAACACCTGGACACACAGGGACATCATGATAGGGAGAGGAAAGCTAGGGGACTTTCTTTTTTTGTAATTACAGAGAATTGTAAACCCAGAGGTCCAGAAAAAAAAAAAAGAGTATACTGCCCACACCTGTTCCAATCACTGCGCGTCAACAATCACCAGCTCATGGCGAATCTTGTCACCGCTTTATCCCCACACTCCGCCACCCCCATGTTATTTCGAAGCAAATCCCAGCCATTGTGTCGTGTCAGCTGTCAATACTTCAGTGAGTGCCATTGTAACAATGAAAAGTCACCACAAAGTCCTCAGTGTCATCAAATATCTAGGGGTCAAGTGTTCTCCGATCGTTGTACAAATTTCTCTTCAGGTCATCTGTTTGAATCAGGATCCAAATCAGGTCCCCTTATGGCATTTGATTGATCAGCTTTTTTCCCAGCAGCTTTATTGAAGAACAATTGGCATACGACAAACTGCACACATTCAAGGTGTACAATTTGATGCGTGCATTCAACATATGTTTACACCCGTGAAACTGTCATCATGATCAAAGCAACGCACATCTCCATCACCCCCAAAGGGTCCTCATGCCCCTTTGCAATCTCTTCCTCCTACTCCTCCCCACTCCCCGGGCCCCTGTGCAAACACTGATCTGTTTTCTGTCACTGTTTTTATATAAAAAGATTAGATTTTGCTAATCGACTAGAATTTTATATAAAAAGAATCATACAGTATGTATTCTTTTTTTGTCTCATTTTTTTCACCAGCATAATTTTGTTGAGATTCCTCCCTATCATAATAGCATTTATCACCAGTTCATTCTTTGGTATTGCTGGGTAGTATTTCACTGCATGGTAATCTATTTACCTGTTCTCGGACATTTGGGTTGTTTCCAGTTTTTGGTTATTACAAACAAAGCTGCTATGAACATTTATGTACAAATGTTTTCTTCTAAAAGATTTTGTTTTAGGTTTTATGTTTAGGTCAATGACCCATTTTGAGTTAATTTTGGTAAATATATAAGGTATTGAAATTCTTTTCTTTTTTGCATATGGATATCCAATTGTTCCAGCACCATTTGTTGGAAAATCTATCTTTTCTTCACTGAATTGCCTTTACACTTCTGCAAAAATCCGTTGTCCATATATGTCTGGGTCTATTTCTGGACTCTCTATTTTCTTCCATTGATCTTTATGTCAATATCACAGTCTTGACTACTGACACTTTATATCTTGAAATCAGGTAGTGTTGGTCTTTTAACTTTATACTTCTTTTTGAAAGTTGTTTTGGCTATCCTAGGCCCTGTCCAATTCCATATGAATTATATAATCAGTTTTTCAATTTCTACAAAAAAGCCTGCTAGGATTGTATTGAATTTCTATATTGGTTTGGAAAGGATTGATATCAATATTGAGTCTTCCAACCTATGAACATGGTATAAATGTTGATTTATTTAGAACTTCTTTAATTTCTATCAGCAATGTTTTGTAGTTTTCAGGTACAGGTCTTTCACATCTTTTGTAAGTTATATATTCGAGTAGTTCATTTTTTTTGTTATAGTCAATGCTTGTTTTGAATTTTAATTTCTGATTTTTCATTATCAGTATATAAAAATACAATGATTTTTGTATCCTGTAACTTTTTAAAACTCAGTTATTAGTTCTGGTAGCTTCTCTGTAGATTCAATTGAATTTTCCACAAAGATGATCACATAGTCTGCAAATAAAGACAGTTTTCCTTCTTTTGCCATCTGGATGACTTTTATTCCTTTTTCTTGCCACAGGTTAGAACCTCCAGTACAGTGTCAAACAGAGATGATGAGGTTGGAATCCCCGTCTTGTTCCTGATCTCGGGGGTGAGCATTCAGATTTTTACTATTAAATATGATGTCAGCTGCAGGCTTTTTATAGATGCCTTTTATCAACTTGAGGAAGTTCCCTTTATTCCTGGTTTGCTGAGAGTTTTTACCAGGAATGGATGTTGGATTTTGTCAAATGCTCTTTCTGAGAGTACTGAGGTGATTATACAGTTTTTCTTTTTCAGTTTAACATGGAGAATCATACGGATTAATTTCCTAATGTTAAGCCAACCATGCATTCCTGGGATAAATTACACTTAGTCATGATGTACTATCCCCTTTACATACTGTTGGCTATGAGTCTGTAAAATTCTATTTAGAACTTTTGCATCTATGTTCATGAGGGATATTGGTCTGTGGTTGTCTTATAATGTCTTAGCCTGGTTTTGCTATTAAGGTAATGCTGGCCTCACAAAATGAGTTGGGCAGTATTCCCTCCTTTTCTGGAAGAGTTTTTGTGGAACTGGTAACGTTTCTTCTTTAAGTGTTGGCAGAATTTACCAGTGAGCCTATCTGGGCCTGGATTTTCCTTTGTGGAAAGGTTTTCAACTACACTGTCAATTTCTTTAACAGGATCACGGTGTTTTCCACTCCGACTGGTGAGAACAGGTACTATTCCTGGCCCTGCGTGAGCACCGGGCACTGTTCCCTCCAATCCTTGCAGGTGGTTCTTTCTGCAGCCCCAGGCAGTGTCCTCACACGCATGCAATGACCAGTACTCTGCTGAATATTCCAGGCGGACTCGGGAAATCTCCGAAGTCCTCTCTGTGTGGCTCTCTCCTCTACCACATGCTGTTTTGTGTTTCTAGCCACCTTGGTCTCCTGCACTCGCAGCTCTGTCTCCTCAACTCAGGGAGTCCGCCTGGCTCCCCTGGGTTCCCCTTCCCTCACTTGTGGACGGGAAACTCTCTCAAACAAGGAAGCTGGGACCGCATAGGGCTGACATTGCTTGCTTCTTTTGTCTCAAGGATTACTGTCCTTTGTTGGCTGATGTCCAGTCTTGAAAACAGTTCTTCCACATATTTCATCCATTGTTTTGTTGGTTCTGGCATGAGGGTAGATCCAGTCCCTGAAGTGGACCATCTTGGCCAGAAGTGGGCATCGTGACGATGGAAGAATGGTATTGCCAGCTACAGCCTCCTAAATGTTTATTTCCTGGGCCTTTTCCAGCTCAGGACTCGTATTTTAGACTCACATTTCTCCCTTTACAGGTTCATTAGTTCTCTCTGCTCAGGGTAGTTGAGGGCCCAAGGGGATACCAATCCCACTGGGGCAGGTGGGCTACCATGCTTCCCATTTCAGAGGCTGGGGCCTGGCACAGCCACACCCGGGCACCATTCTGTTGCTTGTTTGAGCGAATCTTCAGGCATTAATGTGGATTCTCTGCCACATAGGCTGTTCTCAGGCCAAGCTCCCTGGGCACATTCTATCCGGGCCCCACGTTCCTCCTGGTCTCTTTTGGGGTCCCAGGGTTGAGATGGGAGCAGGCAGCAGCCACACACCACTTTGGAGAATTCAGAAGAATTAGTCAAGGAGAGCCACTGTCTAATAAGAGTTGTTGTCAAGAAAGGCTGAGGGAGAGTGACAAGCATTTCAGAGGGAGGGGCAGCTCTCGCCAGGCTGGGCGCTGTGCCCGTGTGAGACATGATGCCGTCCACGCTCAGTGAGGATGTATGCACCCCTTCAGAGTTCTGTTTTTGCAGAGGACCCGCATTATAGGCTTATGTCAGTATACACTTCCAAAATGCCAGAAAATCCACAGTAAGGAGACTATAAAAATGTATCCTTCAAGCAAGATTCAATGGATGCTGTGTGATTTACCGTCGGGGTTAACCGCTTGGAGGAAGGGATGTCAGGAAGCCAAATGCAGTTTCCCGAGAGTTGCCCGCCTGTCTGGCTTGCACTCCTCATTCTTCTGATAACCTCCCCTGGGGAACCAACCCTGTCTCACTCTTCTCCCTGCCCTCCCGTGAGGCTGATGAGACCCCAGGCTCCAGGAGTGGGCACGTGACCCAGGCCCTCTAAGTACGAAGACGGGATCACATCCCCACCATAACCGGCTCAGGAAAGCCAATGTGTGAAGCCCCAGGGCTTTCCCAGAACTCTGGGAAGGGACATGCTTTTCCACTGAGAGGGAGCGGGCCGGAAGCCCTTGCTGTTGGTGGTCACATCTGCCACCACCTGGGGAGAGCAGGTTAAGAATGAAGCCAACCAAGAGGAAGCAGGGTTGAGACCCTGGAGAGAGCCCAACGACGTCATCTAGGCTTTTCAGTGAGATGAGCCAGTAACTCCCTCTTTTCGTGGAGGCCATTTGGTGGGGGGGGAGGGCATATCTGTCATCTGCAACCAAAGTCCAGACTGATGCAATGGGAAGGATTCCCCTTTCCAAGGTGTTCAGGAAGCTCTTCTAAGTCACTCCCTGGGCTTACTCATTGTTGACCTGTGGCCTCTCCCTCCCAGCCCTGACCATGTGAGCGCTCCAGGTCACAGATGGCAAAGAGAACCTGGCTGCCAGTCCCGAGGGGTGGCCCTTACCTGCATGTTGTTCCAGGCGGCCTCCCCACGGCCCCGGACGCAGCTCTCCAGCCTCAGTGGGGAGCCCAGGGCCCCGTGCTTCGTGTCTGCACATAGCCCTGTGCCCACGTTGCGGATCTGGATGGGAGAGAGTGGACCAGTAAGGCACCTCGAGACGCCCACCTGGGCCCCTGCTGGGCTGGGAGGAGGGAACCAAGGCAGAGGCATCAGATGGGCTGGGCTCTTCACCTTAAGAAGCTTGCCGTGGGTTAGCAGAAGTGCCTTGAGCATCTCAATAAAGGAGCAGCCGCTCCACAGAGGAGCTCCTCTAAACCCTCCTGGCTCAGAGCATGTGGAGTCACGAGGTGGGGGCGGGGATGGGTCTGGAGGTGAGCGGCTCTTAAAAGGACTCCCTGGTCCCACTCCTGGAGAACTTGATCCTCGAGGTCCAGAAATCTAATTTTACCCCCATTCCACGTGAGCCAGGGGCCAGACCTTGAAACCTACCCTAGAAAAGTACAGGACATCTCTGCTGTAGGGTCTTGGGCTCTCTGCCTTTTAGGGCAGGCGAATGGCAAGAGGTGGCAGCATCCAAAGAACAACAGTGGTCTCACGAAGATGCGTCCAGTGTGGTGGGAGGAACGCCGGCTGGGAGTGTGAAGGCCTGGGTTGCTCATGTGGGTAGCCGCGCTTACTGTGGGCAGGCCACCACGCCAGGCTCTGGGATCACATCGTGTCCTTCCCACCTCAGAGATATAGCTCCCATTTTGTCTGAGGGGTGGGGGGTGAGGTGGCTGTGAAAACACGCCACTCCCATGGCCCGCTGCAGGGAGTCTGGGTGCCTGGCTGCTGTGCTCCCAATCCACCACTGTGTCCGGGTGGAGGCCACACCTCCCTGGGCTGCTTCCTGCCAGTGATGAGGGAGGCAGGGCTAGTGTGACAGGCCCTCTCTGCGGAGATGCCGCACTCCTCTGACAGGACATCTGGCTTGAAGGTTACCCTGGCCCAGTTTCCTCAGAGCCTCAGTGCTGTCTGGGACTCTTCCTACGTGGCCCTCCTTCCTCCCCTCTCCCCTTCCCAGAGGGCAGACGGCCATCACGGCTCTTCCAGCCTCCCCCAGCTCCTTTCTCATTTTTTCTCTCACGCTTCTCCAATAAGTCTCCTGCATATCTATTCCCATCTTGGTGTCTGCTTCTCGGAGGACGTGAACTAACACAGGGGAGAAAGCTGATAAACTGCAAAGAAATGAAGGGCTTCATGAGGGAACTCAGCACGACACCTCCTCTAGAACCTTCATGCCAGTGATGGGTGGGGCTCGCCAAAGGGCTTAGTCAGGAAAGGTCCCTCTAACGTGCTGTGTGAATGTGTACAAGTCACACCTGGCGTTTCTGCCAGCCCCTCCTTCCTCCAGTATCCACACCCTGATTTTCCATGGGGCTCCCGCTTCTGCCCACCCTGTGGCCAGTCAGAGCACCCATCCTCCCCTTCCTTTGCCCCTTCCTCCAACGGCCAGAGATTGGTGCAGATCCAAGAATAAGACTCAACTCCTGGACCTTTGCTGGCTCCCCTGGGAAAGAGGCAACTACCTCCTGCTGGGTTGGCTAAGCTGGGGCTTTGTCAGCCTGAAGCTTCTGGAAGGCATCTTGCTACCCTCAGCATGAAGCCAACACAAAAGGAAACAGAGTTAAGCAGGAGAAAAGAGACTGCTGTCACTTGAGCCCGTGGATTCAGGTGTGTCTGAAGCCACAGCCACACAAAGTTCCTGTGAGAATCAATAAATTCCCCCTTTTCACTTCAAATTGGACTTCTCTCACCTGCAGCTGAGGAGCTCCAATTCTGATGCTCCCCTCCCCAATCCACCCATCTATATGTGAGTGGGTCCTCTCAGCGGGGAGACCCAGGATCCAGTGATGGAGTGCGTCCCCCCCTGGTAAGACTGTCTGCCTCCTCCAGCAGGACTGGCTTCGTGGGTGTGTGACACAGGCAGTCACACGGGGCCCCTCGCTCAGATCTGTGCTTGGTTTAAAGGTCTGCCGTCACTGTCTTAAAATTCTTCATTTTATCTGTGGACTTGTAAGTGAAATCTGAGGGGGCAATGGGGCAGCGTGAACAGAGGTGGCACATGCTATGCGAGCATCCGCCGTTCCTTTCTGCTGCCATCACATAGAGCGTCTGTGAGGCCCCACAAGCACAGAATCCCGGGGTCCCACACGCATGGGGGCTCAGCGAGAATCAAAGCGAGTACAGGGTGAGTGGGTTAGTCTATGACTAGGTGGGGGTGCTGGCAGGTCCAAGAGACCTCGTTTTCCTTTCCAACCAGAACTTGCTTTGGCTGTATAAGAAGGGCAGTGGCATCCTAAGACTCAAGAAGGACCGAGGGGCTCTCTGTGTCTTTCTTACTGGGGTTATTTCCCTGGATTAGCCCACCGCTCAAGCAGCAGGAGGAAAGGGAAGCACAGGGCAGCCCTCAGTCCCTTTGCCCTCGGCTCCTCCTCACTCATCAGGAAGCCAAGGCAGACAGGTTGGCAGAACGTACGCATTATCAAGAAGCGAAATAAAACCAGCTGCGTTAGTTTTGTGCGGTGTTTCCACTGTTCTGGTAAGAAATACACATGCACGTACAAGGTTTAAAACACAAACTGTGAAATTTCGCCGATTCTGAACGTGAGTTAAACGCTCTTTCGTCTGCATTTAAAACCGGCACTGCATAATACAAAGAGGAATGGTAAAATTTATGCTAATAATTTAAAGTTTTAATTTTTCTCTACTCAATATTGAATAGCAAATGAAAAAACACCGTGACAGGGCTAGAGAGAGACCAGGAAAGAAAGGAAAACGTTTTGTAGGAAAAGCAAGCAAGCAAGCGGCACTTTGCTCCTGTCCGTGAAGGGGTCTCCACGTGCATTTGGCACCCGGCCCCCATTTCGTCGCTGGCCCTGCTCCCCAGTCTCACCTCCCCCCAAGCCGCAGCCGGGGGCTCCACGGGTGGGTAGAACTTGGGCAGGTCCCAGGCGATCTGGGTCATAAACCACCGGAAAGTCTTGCAGTTCAGGCTGCTACGGAGCTGCTTCTGGGCGGCCACATCCCCGGCGGAGAGGTGGCGGTACTCCGGGCGCCGCTGGTAAATGTGCTCCGCGTACTCGTCCATCCACACTTCGGCCACGCGCTTCAGGTTCTGGGGGCGACAGGCAGGGGCAAGGGTCAGGCTCTGGGCGGGGCTGAGGCCGGGGGCTGGGCTGCAAAGAGTTCTGCAGGTTGAGATCAACCTTCCTTATTTTACGTTGCAGCAAGGACCCTACCCCACCAGGGTTTTAAGCCTTCTATATTTCTATTATTATGATGCATGTTTTAAAGGCTCTACAACTGACTGTTGAATAATACACTGCTGTTGCTCTGCCTGACTCTCTTCCATCCTCTATTTTTCTACTGAGAGCCCCCAACGATTTTCCTTTGGGGACCCACCACTGCCTCATTATCGCCTGATGTGGCTTGAGGAAAGGCACATAACCCAGCTTGACTAATGGGAACACAGACAGCCCTGGACAGGGGATTGGTCAGCAGTGAGTGTGTGACCTAAGCCAATCCAATCAGAATCAACTGGCATTAGCCCTGGAATTCTTGCTGGAACTATGGGGGAAGAATTCCTCAGTTGCTGCATGGATTGCTGGGTAAGATACCAACCAGAGCTGCTGTCATCACATGGCCACCCTCTGAGGAAAGCCTGTCCAAGGATGACGTCAACTCAGAATGAAGGAGAGCTGAGGGCAAGCATGAGGAATAAATTCCTCCTTTTAGCACCTGAATCCAGCCATGCCTGAAGCCAGAACCACCTCAGGACTTTCCAGTTACATGAGCCAGTAAAGTCCTTTTCCGTTTAAGCCAACCTGAGTTGGGTTTCTGTCTTTTTTCAACTAAGAGTGCTGGCCAAATGGCATGGTAGAAACAAATTACAATTTGCCACTAAAAGATAAAATTCCATCAGTATCTGGAATTTTAAATAATCCTTTGAGGAGCCAAGGTTGCTGCTACTTTTATCACGAAGCAGAAGGATAATCAATAAAAAAATGACAACCATATTATTGGCAAGTAGAGGTGGCAGGTGAAGGAACATCTTGTTTGTGAGCAGACTTGGAGATGCAGGAAAAGGGAACTCTTCCATGCTAACTGTAATGAAAATACCTCATTCCGTTTGTATGTAGATACCACCTGCTGAGAACCTCGGACAGCTGGCACTGGGAGAGCACACCTCCAGGGTTCCGGGGGAAATCGCCTGCTCCAAAACGTCTTCCTCCAACTCCTGGCTATTGCTAGAAATCCCCCCACATTTAACTCTCTAGGCGCAATCTCCATCAGAGTTTTTTCTCCTACTGCAATTCAAATTTTCCTCTGAAGAGTAAAAGGGAGTTGCACATTAGGCTGTTATCAGTCATTCACACCTCAGTGTAAATGATTGCTCTGGAGGCAGAAGGTAAGGCAGGGGTTGGCAAATGTTTTCTGTAAAGGGCCAGAGAGTAAATGTTTCAGGCTTTGCAGACCACATGGTCTCAACTCTGATGTAGCTATAAAGCAGCCCCAGACGCTACGTAAACGAATGGGTGTAGCTGCATTCCAATAAAACTTTATGGACATTGAAATTTGATTTTCATGTGTCATGAAATATTATTCTTCTGATTTTTTTCCCCCTAACTATTTAAAAATGTAAAATCCATTCTTAGCCCATAGGCTACACAAAACGACTTCTGAGCAAGGCAGAAGGGAGCCAACAGGAGGGAGGCCCTGGGACCAAAGACAAAATTCACCAGCTCCTCAGTTTTGCTGCCTCTGAGTCTGGGACCAGGAAACTGTGGAATTTCCTTGCGGCTGCCTCGTTCTCCCTGGGGGCTGAAGAGTATGAGCGTGGGTCAGGAAAGAGTTCAGGAACACTGTTATCCTCGCCAGGCCCCGGCACGGCAAAGGCTGGGCTTAACTGAAAACTGTGCCCCACAGAAGCTCAAAGGGCCTGCACCCCTGGACCACTCTCCTTTCTTGTCTGCCTGCCCAGGTCCTCTGGCTCACTGTCTAAGCCACTCAAGCCACAGAGACGATGAGGAACCACCGGAGTTTTCTCTGCAACCCAGGCAAGGGTGGCTGGCCAGTCTGACCAAGGAAAGGTGCCGAAATTCACCAGTGTTGTTCTTAAAGAATCAAATCACATAACGTTTTAATTTTGATTGATATTTAGATGACTATTTTCATGAGTACTGCATTTTCCAGACATGGCTTACTAAGCCATCTGTCCCAGATCTTGAACTTCTGTACGGTCAACTGTTCGGACCAAAGCAAAGGATTTTACGTTTATTTCTACTACATCTCCCCTTTTGAGAGTCACGAAAATGACTCCGGGGTTTCAGTGGGCTGCGTGCTCCTCTCACCTCTACTCCTAACCCCTTCCTAGTTCCGGGTCCCAGCCCTGCCTGCGGCCCCCCGCTCTTCTTGCGCTGGGACGACAGACTTGCCCCGATCCTCGCACTAAGTCTCCACTTTTGTTTCGCCAGGTTTGAGTGGTTTCTGTTACTGCCTTCCCTAAGACCCCTTTCCCAGAGGCAGAGACAGGGATTTTAGCAAACTTTGTAAACAAATTAAGACTGGCTCCGTGTTCTTCAGGCAGGCAAGCGGGTGGTTGGCGCATCCTTCCTGAAGCGCTCCATCGCTGCTGTCTGGCTGTCTGTCCTTCTGGAGGCTGCACAATATGGACTGTGACTGAAGCATCACAAGTCTTGCTAATGGTGATGCTGACACTAATACTGATCCTAACAACAGCAGTCACTATTTAAGGGGCAATTGCTCTGTGCCAGGCATAGGTCAGACCTAAGTGGATTTGAATTCTGGCTCTAGTTACTTAACGTCCCTATGTTTCACTTTCCTCATTTCTAAAATGGGATTAAAAACAAGTGAGAATTGAGTGAGAGAAGTATGTAAGACGCTGTGCAGGACGCCTGGCTCACAGGAAGTCTGTGCTACCACAGTTACCTATTATCCATTGAATTCATCTATGGTTCAATACGCAGGAGCGGAAGCCTCTTTACCTTGTGGGTCTTATAAATGACGGCTCTGGGGAGGGAAAGCAGGCTTTGGGAGTGGTCCTGCTCAGGGGTCAGAGGTACCCCCATGGTCCCACGGTCCCTAGTAGCTGAAAGAATTGCAGTCTTGAGCTTACTGAGTGACTTTGCGCTGTTTTCCTACCTGGCACCTTCCTCTGGGATTGCTACTGGTATTTCAGTTGGAATGTGACTCCTGCCTCTCCTGCTGAATCTGGAACCCGCCCCCCCGCGTCGGATGGGGCTTGTCCAAAGCGTGGATGGCGGGGGCGGCTGTCGTTAGCATCTTGGACCACTAGAGGGCACTGCCGCCTCTCCTTTCCCTCAACGCCGTGCCCAGGGCAGCCCCCGCCGCCTCCGCGCTCAGCTCCCCGCCCAGGACCGAGCCTGGGGAGACCCGCGGCCTCTTGGAGCCTTAGTCTTCCTTGTAAACCGCAGGACCATGGCCCTCCCAGGACCCAGGGGCTGCAATTCTGCACGCCATCGATTGTCAGGTGACACGGGACGGGGAGGCAGCGGCCTGGGCGGAAGGAGGCTGTGTAGACCGATGCCAAACAGGCTAGCACGGGGCGAGGGTAGGGGGATCTGCTGGGTGGGGTCCACGGGTAGGAGCGGGGTCTCCGCGAGGCAAAGCTACGCGGGTGATCTAACTTCCCCCGAACTTCCCTGCGGCCGTCTTCTCCCTCTGGGGACCCTCCCCTCTCTTCCGTTTTCTTTTGTGCTCACCTTGATTTTTTTCCCCCCAAGACGCTAAATATATATTTTAAAATTTATTATTAAGGTTTAGTGAGATATCATTAATACGAAAATAAAAACAAAACTGGCTAGCAGATTTCCATTTGTAGCCAGTGGCCAGTTTAATTGAAGCAATGATTAATACAAACCATTTAAGGCAGTGAACTAGTTTGACGCACAATTTTTGGCAGTGAAAGTGGAGGGGATGGGGAGAAGAGGAAGACCCCAACATTTATTAACCACCCGGGGCTGGGAACTTTTACCTACCCTGGCTCCAGCTTTCCCAAACACACACTCCACCTGTATTAATGTTTATCTAATGTTTCTTTAACTTCCCCCGGTCTAACTTTGCATCGACTTTGGTTTTCTCTTAAGTAATAATGTCTGTGAAATCACAAGTTGGCTACACTAATACACATTAATTTCTAGTTCACATTAATTTTGACACATGAAAATAAAAATGTTCCCATGGCTACCACCTACAACCATCCCGCCCATCACACTTTGGGAAACTGTGTCATTTGCTAGTAATGCTAAGAGTTGGAAAGAATTAGTTTCCTTTCAACAAAGGAGGGCACACAGGTTCAGAGGAGTTAAGCAACCCTCCCAACGTCACACAGCTAATAAGTGGTTTAGCACAGCTTTAAGTAAGTTCTTTTAAACTGGATTTCACCTGGGGAGTGGGGGTGTGGGGCTCGTCCTCACACCTGGGGATCTCTTGGCCTGGGCCCCCGGGTGCCTCTGCTCTGCTGATGGGCCTAGGCCAACCCCGTTGCCCCCAGGGAAGCCACCACCTTACCCGGGCCAGGCTGACTCCAGCGGGGACCTTGTAGGGTACGTACTTCCTGTAGATATGACCCACCCTGGAGCAGGGGATGTCCTCCATGCGGCCCCCACACATCCACACCTGTAGGGTGAGAAGGGAGAGAGAAGATGTTTCTGCCTCCAGTTCACCGCCCCCTTAGAGTGTTCATCGAAAGCATCAGCTTGGACTGTGTACTGAAGCCCCGTTCACAGAACTAGGGACATGGGAAAAACACGGTAATAACAGCAGTAAAAACAGCTGACAGCATCGGGTGCTTACGAATCGCCAAACACTGTGCTACGAGCCTCGGACGCAGACCCGCATTTAAGCCGCATCAGAAAACCTCCGAAGTAGGAAGTAACAGAGCTCCATTTTACAGATGAAGAAACTGAGGCTCACAGAAGCTAAGGAACTTGTCTAAGGTCACAGGATCAGTAAGTGGTGGAGCCAGAATTTAAACCGAGCTCTAGCTGACTCCAGAGTCTGACGCTTGGAGTGCTGTGTTGAGAAGAATGTGAAGGCGGCATCGGGCTCAGTGGGAAAGACTACGGTGATCGCTTAGTGATGTCTGCCACAGGTGTGAGAGGGGACAAGGTGGCACATAGGCTCTGTATATTTGCTCTGGTGTTAGCTTCTGGAGTTTCCTCCCAGATCTGTGAGTGTCTTGCAGGGTCACCCTGAGCAGTGGCATTGCCTGCCCTGCTCCACCTTCTCTGCAGGCTGGCATGCTAACCCACGCAGCTGGGTATCGCTGCACTGTGGGACCTGATGTTCCTCCTTGTGTCTCCCTCCATATCTGGCATCACAAAGAGCTCCTGGTCTGACAGCAGTTTGGGAATTCTTAACAAGTGCAAGCAACAGTGACTCACACCCACGGAGGGCCCAGCCTAAACAGACCCTTCTCGGCAAGTCCTGAGTTCAAATCCTGACTCAGCCGCTATTCAGCTTTGTGACTCTCATCAAGGTACTTAACTTCTCTGTGGCTCAGTAGCCTCATCTGTAAAGGACTAAGTAAGGCGAGCCTGGGGCGTGAGGTCTGCACGTGAAGGACTTGGCACATAGTCGCAGCAGCGTTACATACTGCAATGATTAATTCATCCATTTGATGATATTTATGGAGTCTCTGCTACATGCCAAATACTGTGCTGAGCACATACAGCCGTGAATAAGTTGGCATGGTCCCTGCTCTCAGGGAGGGGGGGTGGTGGTATTTGTGGTATTTGTGCCCTTATGCAGTTCCCTCCCAAATGAGTCACGTGAGGATTGACCTTGTAACCAACAGGATATGCAGAAACGACAGTCATGAGAGACTCGGTGGCTTCCACCGCACTGCCTGGGATCCCTGCCACGTTGTGAGGACACTCAGGCAGCCCTGTGGAGAGGCCCAGGTGGTGCAGAGCTGAGGCCTCCTGCCAACAGCGCTCACTTGCCAGCCACGTGAACAAGCCATCTTAGAAGTGGATCCTCCCGCCCCGGTCAGGCCTCCAGCGACTGCAGCCCTGGCTGGCACCCTAACGACAACCTCATGACAGACCCAAGCCAGGATTATCCTGCTCAGCCACTCCCAAATCCCCGACCCATACAGACTCTGATGTTTACTACATTTTAAGATGATTTTTCCCGTGGCAGTAGATAAATAATACAGGGAGAGAGGTTTAGATGGTGATGTCTGCTATAAGGAAGCAAAAGCAAGGTAACTGGATAGACTCATTGTGTGGATGTATGGGATGCTATGTTATCCCCACCTGTCAGGGAAAGCTTCACTTAGAAGGGACTACTTGAGACAAGACTTAAATGATGAGGAGGTAAACGTAACATAAAGATTGGAGGGGTGAGGGAACAGCTGGAGAGAAGAGCATGTGCAAAGGTCCTGGGGTAGGGAGCCAGAGGCTTGGAGCAAAGGGAGGAGTGATGGGAGGGGAGGTCAGAGAGGTGAGCGGGGACAATCATAGAGATCTTGCAGGGTAGAATAAGGAGTCTTCACCAAAAGTCTTCAGTGAGGGAGACAACATAATCCAATTTCTATTTTACAAAGACGACTCTGCCTGTGGAGTGGAGAACAGCCTATAGGCTGCAGGCTGGGGGAGGGAAGGCCTGGGAGGCAGTCATGGCATCAGGTTTGTGGGGATGGTGGGACACAGCTGGAGTCGAGACATTATTATTAATCTTGTTACCATGTGCCTTCATTTGTGGAACAAGGAGTAGGAGTGCAATACCGACAACCCGGACTCTGTGCAAAAGAGCCTTTCTCGGCTTGAACTGCTCAATGGGATGCTGGGGATTTGGCTTCACGTCCTGATTCACTCAGAGGCTCTAGACGGGCCGCTCTGGCACCTCGTGCACCCGCAGGTCTCAGTCTCCCACGACCTCTCGCCAGCTGCCGCCCTCTACATCCCACCCTGGATGCACTCTGTGCCGGGCTCCCGAGGCGGGATATGTACACATGAGGCTGCAATTAGTGGAAGTGCTGCCTGGAGAAATGCAATTATATTCTGATCTTGGGGGAGAAAAAAAAATCGAGCAAGTCAATAGAACAGAACATTGGTCTCGAGATAATGGGCTCCTGATGGTGGATTAATGTCAAGGCCAAGCCAAGAAGTTTATTTTCAAAGCAGGAGATATTGATCAGGTGCCAGCATCCCATAACAATAACTCTTCCTTTATACGAAGTGATTGATGTGGAAGTGATGCTTTTGTCTGGCGGATGTGGCCCAGGTCGCCGCTGGGCTGCCCCTGCCTTTCGGGCGGCGGAGAGGCGCTGAGCAGGTGGGGGACACCTCATCCTGCTCTATTTTTGGACGTCTCCTGGGCAGTTGACTAGGCTGGCGTCCAGCACTCTCGACTCCACATTAAACTCGCATTAGCTAACGAGGCTGCGTCTCCAGCTCCGCCTGGCAGGAAACCTTCCTTTATGTGGACGGATGATCAATTTCCAAATCCTTCTCTTTGCTGTGACCTCGGCATTCTTTGGCTCTGAACACGCTGGCCATCAGCCTGAAGGTTCCTGAGGGACCGGGTGACCTTGATCTGCTGAGAGGTTTGAGGCGTCCAAAATGCCCTCAGATTCCTGGGATGTCCGGAGCCCAGAGGGAGTCCTGGCTTTGGACGATGGGTTTACCCCATGGCTTCCCTGCCCTGGACATGATTCACTGATGGCTGACTCAGAGTGTGAACTGCCTTCAGAGAGACAGACACCTGTTCAGCTGAAGCTGCTGCCAACTCCTGAGTCTTTTGGGAGCACCTGAGAAGGGCCCATCGTGGGGCACACTTAACACTTGAGAACTCCCTCTGGCCACCCAGAATGCATCCGACACAGTGGTCAACATCCTCCATCCCCCGTGATGTTCACTTGTTATCTGGCGGGATCCCAAGACTGGAGGGGACTCTCCTTCCAGGGACAATGATGAAATGTGGAGGCACAGAATGGTGTCATGACTCGCCCTGGGTGGGGGAGCTGGCCAGAGCTGGTCTGGATCCCAGGTCACCTACCTGTCTACCTTTAGGGCCGTCCTCCCCCTTCTTTCACAGCCAAGGCAGCGCCTCTCAAGACCCGCAACAAACACAGCCATGGGGGTTATGAGCACACACTGCTCGACAGTCCCCAATACCACCTTGTGCAGCTGTGTGACCCCATGCAAGGAATTCACCTGGGGAGCCACACTCTCTGCATCTGTGACCTGGGGATGGCAGTCACTCAAGGCTGCTGAGACGGCCTGAGACAACTGTGAGAAGCACTTAGCTTGGTGCCTGGCCATAGCAAATCTGCTTAAGGGTAGTCATTTCGATTTGCAAAAGGATGAGAAATACCACCACCTTGAAATTATAGAGCTCTTGCCCTTCTGCCCACCGCCATCATGTTTTTTATCCTATGGCCCATTTCCCAAGTGGCGAAACTGAGACTCAGGAAATTGAAGTTTTTCTAACTATGTGGTGGCAGAACCTGCAACCAATGAGAATGACAGGGCGGGGCGGGGCACAGTCACGGGGTACCCCCTGGGGCCTGGCTGCCCAAGGACATTCTCCTCTCCCCTAAGAGAAGAGTCCAGCTGGTGGCAGCAAGAAGGGGAAGCTGCAGTGCCAGCAGCAGCCAGAATTGTGTTTGGCCGGGACCCCATTGTATTTGGATGGGGACAAATACAGGCCACCGAGAGGACATTCTTGCAGCCCCTCTCTGCGGTCAGCTCTCTTCCCTCTGCCCGCCTCCGTGCCATCTCCAGCCCCAACCCCGTGTGATGCAGCTGCCTACTCGGGGAGCCTGGCTGTGCCACCAAAAGGAGTTCCAAACACACGGTAGCTCGTTCCTTGGTGCCTCTCCCCTCCTGTGGAGCAGTCTCCCGGACGCACCCTGCCACTAGACAAGTACAGATCTAACTGAAGAAGCTCGCTCCCCATTCGTTTTCACTGCTGCTTTGATTTATTTTATTAGCAAACTTCTTTTGTGTGATGACAGCCTTCATTACAGCGTCTACAAAAGACAATTACTCGCTTTTATCTCCTAAACCGAGGCGGAGAGAAACGAGTGGTGATGTGCATCAGGGAGAAACGACGGGACGCGGAGAGCGAGCGGCGGAGGGCCCGCCTGCGGAGGGAAACTGAGCGAGCAGGGGCTGAAGGAAGCCTTCCTGTCAGGGACTTGGCTGCCTGGAAACCAACCAGGAACAGGACAGCCATCCTGCCTGCCGAGGCCGGGGAGAAGATGGCAGCCAGCCGTGTCTGCCTCTGTTGGTATCTTGGTGGAGGACCCCTATGGAGTGAAAACGCTATTCAGTTGCACTTTGGGGAAATAATATGATAATAATCACCACTGATTATTCTGCATCATCTGTGTGCTTACGCAGGGTAGCCGTTATGAGCTCGCCTCTGGAGTCAGACAGAACTGAGGTCTAATTCAGGCTCTTAGGCAAGCTCTGTGAGGCTGAAAACGTCAGTTTCTTCATCTGCAAAACGGGATGAACCACTGTGCCCACCTTCTAGGGTTGCGATGATGCTACTTGAGGTCAATCTGAAGCACAGAGGACTGTGTGCAATCCGAATGGTGCTACCTGGACAGGTGGCAGCTGTCGCTACTGGTGGTGGGCACGTGCATACAGGTGTGCCACACA